CGGAATTCCCAGTTCTTGTGTGTGCGAATTTGCACTCTTGTCCGCGCGAACAGTATCCACGCGCGAAGTCCCTGCACGCATCAATCGCAGGAGCACCGGGCGACGTAGATCTGGGCCTCCTTGGGGGCTCGCCCCTAGGGCTAGGCGTACGCCGCTTGTCCTGCTCCCGATTCCTGGGAGAGTACTTGTCCCTTCGATGAGGACTTGGGGTATTACCGGTCCTCTTCCTTGGATCACTAGGAGGCCGATTAGGCCTATGGGAATCTCCAAACGGAGATCGTCTCCTGACGGGAGGACCAGGAGCACCAGGTTTCTGGGCTCTGTCCCTGGACTGAGATCGTTCGTAAAAGTCTTTGTGCATATTGACCTGATTCTTACGAACCCTCCAGCGGTCAATTTCGTTCTTACAACGAGCACGAAGCCATTCATAGCTACAAACATCAGGGTTGGATATGTTCCTATCCCATTCCCTGATATCATGAGCCAAACAGTTGAGGTGTCTAACCTTCTCACTGAATAGCGACCGCTTTACCTGCTCGGTCAGCGGTTCATCGAGACCCGCAAGGATGTGATCCCACTTCGCGATGAACCTTTCAAGTCGCTCCTCTTCAGTATAGAAAGATGAAACACTGCATCGCAAGTTTGAGAGCTCAATTATCCTGAATGATTGCTCTCCGATATTTGCAGTCCTTAAGTGGTCGTATAAGAGCCACAGGATCTGCCTACTCTTGATGCGATTGTTGGAACGTTGAGCGGCTTCGGTGAGACGATTAATCTTATCGATAATTGCAACAGTCTTGATGCACTTCCGAATGGCTGCATTGAACCTGGCTTCAAGGATGTGGTACTTACATTCCCCATCCAGTTCATCAAAGGTCTTTGCCTTCTCGACTTCAGTTAGCCAATTGATGACGTAAAGTCCATCATAGCTGTAGGCATTGCTAACAGCTTCCTTCATATTGGCTATCCATACCCTCAGCCCAGCCGCGTCGGGCTCTGGCGGGAGGTCTATGGGAATGCACTTAGTCGCAGCTGTACAGTTCGGATCATGGTGGCTACTATATCCGCCGCCACCAGTTCCGAAAAGATGCTGTGGAACCTGAGAACTACTGATTGACAGTGCACATACAGGACAAAGGCGAGTAGCCTTCGGAATGCAAATCTCACATGCCTTTTTCATGCATATCTTACATTCCCCAATTTTGCTGGGGTCAGGAATATCCCGATCACACATTCGACAGTTCTTGTCAGGAGGATCGGGGCCACGCATGGTCGGCGGCTCAAGGCCTGACGGATCCTTCGGCCTTGTACCTTTGGGATCAAATCCTGGATAATATCCGGTTTCACGTTTATCCAGGGGCACGGGTTGCGTAGCCTTCGGAGGGCTCTGAAGGTCAGCCGCGTTGGGTTGACCCCCAGTGGGAATGTCACGGAATCTGTCAACGGGTGGCCGCAGAGGCGGCGAGTACGACCGCGTCGGGTTCGTCTCAGGTGTGCCTCCAGGAGATCTATTCCTGACACGGTTACCATCGGGATCCCTTCTTCTCCTAGTTTCGTCCCTAAGGCACGCAAGACAACAGGGACCCTGGACAAATCCAAATCTCCTGTAGTCATCCTGCCCAGCAGAATGTCTGGTGCAGTAGTAGGTCCTACAAAACTGACACTCAATTCCCTTGGTCAGGAACGAGCTCTCCCTACAGACACCGCATCGGGGTCCGTTACGGGAACATTCTTCACACAAGTTCTCTTTGAACGAGAAACAATACTCACAAATATCACCTCTGCATCCTTTGCAGTGAAACTCAGCCATGAGGTGATTATTTCCATCACCTACGTATTTACACCTGGGTTTACCAGGGTCGCCAGGGTTCCCACCGGCAGCACTCTTCTTCCCCCCTCCTCCTGGGCTTTGCCGATCTGGAGGAGGAGGTGGTGGAGGATCATCATCAGGAGGGCCAGGTGGAGGTGGCCGCTTATCCGGAGTACGGGACGCGGCACGCCTTCCTCCTGTGCGATCGTTCAATCCACTACTTGATGCCTGGTTCGAGTGCCTTGACTCGAGGGAGTTAATTCTCTGGGCCGTATTACCCAGCACCTCGAGCATTTGCTCGAGCTTACTGTTGAGCGTAGTCGAAACGGCCATGTTATGAGTATTTTGCTTGTCCGTGTAGGATTTGCAGTCCCTTGACTTTATCTCGAGGTTGGCTTGTGTCTCATAAAGTTGGTCTTTAACCCACTTTATGCCGTCCCTATTATTGGTCCAGCATTGTTCGACATCTTGCATCATCCTATCAATCTGACATACCCTAGTGGACAGGTCCTCGATTTTGAGGTTTACTCCACCAATCGCAGGATGGTTGGATTGGCTCTCCACTAGAGATCTCTCGATCGCATCAACACGAGCTATAAGCCCGGTTACTCGATCAGAAAGAGATTCAAAAACAGTTTGAACTTGGGTGATGGAGCGAGCAACATCATCATAGCTGGCCCGCTCATTTAGGGCATCGCCTATGCTTGTCATGCGATCGGAAACGATCTTGACGCGTTGGCCAAGCTCGGTCACGATGTCCTTAGTCCCTTGTGACAGCTGCATGGCCGCGTTCGCAGCCTGCGTACACGTGCTACTCACATGGACGCATTGGTCGTATTTGGCCCTCCACGAGTTAACCTCAGTGGAGAGCTGCTTGATGCATTGATCACTTCTATCATTCCTACGCCCAAGGTCTTCGACCTTAGCAACCAGGCGATGAATGATCGCACTTACCGAAGAGTCCACTCTCCCTCTTTCAAGGGCTGTTACAAGATCAGCAACCTCGTTGGGTTGCTCCTCACTCGCAGGACCAAATCCTGATCCGCGATCTCGAGGAGTGGACAAATCAACCATGATCGGATTAGATCTCGGAGGTGTCCTGAAATCATCTTGTACAGCCGTTGATGGCCGTGGGAATTCGCTCCGATTAGGAGGCTGACTCTGATACGGTGCAGATCTTCTGGCATCACGAACCGCTGATGGCTGTGGCATGCCTAGACCCTTTGTCACAAACAATTTGGGAACTACTGGCCTATCAGTCCGCATAGGAACTTCAGGCTTCATATCAGCAATGACAACGTCATGCAAATCAGTCGCATTGGACGCTCTAGACTCAGACATTGATTCAACATCGGTGGCGCTGCTGACGGTGTTGTTGTGATTGGAACTTGATGCCATCATGGACTCAGACTCAATCGGAACATCAGCTCCGTCCACGTTGTTCAGGGCGAAAATGGAAGCCGCGTTGGGCGTAGGGCGAACGCCTTGCGCGTTCAAGCCACTTGACCTATTAAATTCCTCCTGGAATGCTTCGATCCCATCAAGCACGTTAACGAGTGTGTCCGCGTTTAACGGGTCTCTACCAATGATCGACGCTGGGTCACCTGATCGACCGCGTCCTGAGTCCCGCGTACTGGGGTTACCCCTGTGGGCAGTTTCCCGATCCATCCCCCTTGCCCTATGCGATCCAGTCGAATTTGACCTTGATCGTTTGCTTGGGGTTGGACTGGGATGCAAATCCAATCTATCTACGATATTACGCTCCCTAGGGCTCTCAAATCCTGAAAGTCCTGGGGGAGGGGACATGTTCCTCATGGTCGGGTTTACCGACGGCCTTGGCCTGACGTTACGGCTGGCCACGTCAGGATTGAGATTCTCAATCGACAAAGGTAGCATGAATTCATCGCTTCCAGCAGCCCGTTTTGGGCTTTGGAATTGCGGGAAAGATGACGGGGCGGGTGGCCCTGGCATCCATGCGGCAAAATCCATACCAAAAATGTTTCCGTCGTTGGGCCATGAGGCTCTCCAATCGAGCCCACCGGATTCGGTCGGCAGATGAACGTCAAATGCAACTCCACTGGATGTACCAGGTTCGGGATTACCGAGCACTTGAAAAGCTATGCTACTGGTTGGCACAGGTCTACTGCTGCCTCGGGAGTCACGAATTTCGGACTGACCAATATTCATCAGCTCGGGGAAAGATGAGGATTGAGCTCCAGGTGCAATACCGGGCTCGTCATCATCACGTCCTGAGACGGAATCATCATGGCCAGGACGATTAGACCCACGACCCTGAGAGCGATTAGCTCTTGAGGCATTAGACGATAGATCATCAGTGCGAGTAGCACTGGATCTCTCTGAAGGCATTGCTTCTGAAAAAGTGTGGTCCGACAAAAAGTCAGGACCGGAAAACATCGGCTGTCCGGGCACTTGGTCGTCATTCACAACGTCCAAGATTCCGGCCTGGCCGAGAACCCATTCATCGGTCACCACATGAGGTCCGTCCTCAGTGATTCCCGCCATGATACCTACAGAAACCTACGGTACCTGCAGGGTTGTTATTAAAAGGGGGTTCGCGGTGCCAACCGAGGACGAATCCTACGGCTGATAACCTGCGAAAGGGTTTGAAACAGTATTTCGGGAGAGAATAAACAGGCCCTAACCCACCAACAAGAAGAGACAGTTTAAGCCCCCCAGTCCCAAGGGCAAAGTGGTGCCCTCGGCTGGCACTGAACCACACAGATAACAAACGGGGGATCCTGTTTAACCGCAAAACCCAAACAGGAAAGGGGACCAGCGCAGCCAACCAAGCGAGCGCAGCAAGCAAGCGAGCAAAGCAATCAACCAAGCAAAAGCGGAGCAGCAGCAACAATGCGATTCCCAACCCAAACCTGACCCACACCCAAAACCACCCAGCCGCCGTAATCCGGGGCGTGGGATTCGAACACCCACGCACCGGCACGGCGCCGCTGCCAGCGATTTTGACGGTAATGGCAGGTCGAATCGACGGAATAAAAAGCTTGAGCCAAATGGCGCATTGGCCATGGCAATGAGCAAACATGCTATAATAAAAGTACATGCCCCCAAAAACACAAAATAAACATGGTTCCTGGTTGGATAGAAACCTTCTGTGGCACCATGGGAGTCCCATGACGGGCTGGGCTTCATATCGCAGCTCCGGAATCCACTCCTCGCCGCTCATCGAGCTCCCGAAGAAGCTGAGAAAACCATTGAGCTCCCGGTGCTTGGCTAAGACCTCAGCGGGTGAATGGAATGGCTTCACTTCGAACCTGTAAACAAATAGACCAACAAAAGGTTGATTCTCTTGGAACCAATGGACCAAGCAATAGATTCAATAGACCAACAAAGGGAAACACAAAAGGTCAAATGGCCGATCTGCTTTGGACAAGTGAGTCGAACCATCGCCCTTAAAGGATTCCTGGAAGGGCAAGTGGGTCTTGCTTGGTGCCCTTTGCGGGGTGGTGCTTTCAAGGGGACTTCGGCAGATCGATTTTGGGGGTTCCCTCGTGAGCCAATCTCGGAGGGGGAGGGCATAACTCTCTGCCTGACCTCTTGAGGTCTTCAGGGCTTGCCCTTGGCTTGCGGGAAAGCTCCCCTCCCACAGCCGCCCCGGAGGTCCGTGATAAAATGGTCTGCTCAGAGGGAACCAAAGGAAACCGGTTACCTTGACCCTAACAATACCCTTAAACAAACATGGTATTGCTATACTTTTATGGATAACACATTCCTGTTTTAATGGGTAGTTTGAGGGTCCAGGTTCCAACCTTCTGCCCCGGAGTGCTCAAGGCCGTCCTTTTTTGTTCCAAACCCTGGTGCAGAGTTCAAAAGCGGAGGTGTGGAATGCTTGAGACATCTGGCCAAGGGCGCCTCACCCAAAGTGTGGGCTATCGGGACCCCATGACTTTGTCATCACTTAAAAGGGGCCGGGTTCTATTGGTATCCCAGAGTGTGGCAAGCTAAAACGGACATGGGACATTTACAGCTTGTTTCCTGGCTTTTGGGAAACTTAGAGCTTGTCCCCCACTTTCAAGCCTCTGAAACGCAGCATAGACTACTGGACATGTTGATCAAAACCTCAAATGTTCAACAGTTGACGCACCTCCCAGCGATTCACAGCGCCATCCCACGCAACACCTTTGGGCTAGGTTGGGTCTGTCTCCAGGCAAATCCCTTCAGTGGGCGTTCCTATGGAGTCTTCCAAAAACAGGGTGCCAGAAGGACGAACCCAGGTGAAATGAATGCTGACCAACCTTTTTTGGGACCTGTTCGGTGACCTGATAAGTGGTCCTCGAAGTGTTTTTTTTCTTTCTTTTTTTTTCTGTAGGTTCTCATAGTCATACCTTTGTCTTGGAGGGATGACACCCAAAGTCAACAATTTAGCTCAGGCTTCCTTGGAAGATGTCCGCCTAACATGGGCCCAGGAAAAGGATCAGGGCTCCCTATTCTGACCCCAACATCATCCCCCAAGAGGAAACTCACCCAACAGGGGCTCAAGAGGAGATGTTGAACTGACCCATCTGAAAGGGGGTATACATACTTTGGTTCCTGCGAAAATGAGAGCATATGTCCAGCAGTGATAGATTGCCTTGAAATTAGGAGAAATTCTGAAGAGCAAACTCACCCCCCCCCCCCCAGTTCCTGCCATGTTCAGCAAGCGGCCATCTTCACCGTCTTAAGAAGGTCTGAGGTGCTTCGAACTTTCGTCCTGAGTCGACAAATTGGACGACACGTTCGAACCATCGGCAACAAAAGCCGCCAACCCTCCCCCCCCCAACGCCAGAAAGCAGGGGTTTTACCAACCCTCCTCACAGGATTCCCGCTTTTTTCAACCTGAACATGCCTGCCAGGGAAAATTATCCTCCGTGCCATCCAGGTGCGGTTCCAAATCATCCAAGGGGAAAGATAACTTTGGGGCGTCTATCTAAACACCAGGCAAAGGGGCTCAACTTATGACAAAGAATAATGAAAGAGGCCGGATATCAACGAGTGTTATGCCAAACTATTCCTAATTTTCTACCGGGGATGTGGCTCCCATGCTGGACAGGATCAAAGGTGGCTTCCTTTTGCGACCTTGACTCAAAATGTACTTCCTTCAAGTTCTTCTTCGGCCAAGGGCTCATTTCCTGTGGGAATCAAGACATGGGGAGCCCTCACCTTCGTTGTTGGTTTCTTCGCTTCCCTATTCCACCCCAATTCCACTCCAATACGTATCCCTTATACGAATCCTCTTAGTGGTACTGTAACTCGCCTAGTCAAATGGTTACTAGTGTTGAACCCATATCAATACCCAAAAACGCCCCATACCGGGGTTGCTTAATATGGGTCACCATCACACATGGTTTTCACCCAAGACGAGGGAAAGTCCGCCGGGTTGTGTGCGTGACTTTAGCATTCGGCAAACAAAGCGGGCGGGGCGGTACGTTGATGCCCAAGCCACCGGAGACGGATCATGTAGAAGGCCGAAATCAGGCGAGCGCGCACCTCCAGCGAGTGCCAGTTGTCACAACGTACCGGCTACCTCTCTCTCTCTCCCTGCGTGTGTGTGTGTGTGTGTGTCGAGGGTGCCCGCTTTTGAGGGTACAAACATGCTTTGGGGGCTCTCCAAACAAATTGACACATGCCCACTTATACTCTGTGAATCAGAAACCCAATGCTTGTCTTGGGCACAGTTCGGGAGGGCATCCTCCAAGAAACCGAGCGTTTCACGAAATATACAATCTAAAGGAGAAATACCAACTGATTTCAGCGGTAGTGGTTTGAGGTAGTGGAAACAGCTTGGACTCTGTGAATCAGCCCCCTTTTTGGTTTGCTGATGCAAGTACTCTTATTGACCTGAGATGTGCTGTACATCCTTCAAAACGCGGATAGCCCAAACCGCCTTGGGGTCTGACTGGGGACCGAGCGATGTCTGTGAGTCAAACACATCTTGCTGGACTTGTCGAGAGAAACCCAAGGGCGGTTGTCATTGTTGTGAACAAGATGTCTATGCACATTGCACGATGAAGCGGAATTGGAAGCTCGTTCACTCGCGCTTTGGGTAACTTTGCTGGAATGGTCGTGGGGTCAAACATGTAATTCTCATGTCACCCCAAGACCCGGTCTTTCGAGAACCCGCAGCTCAAGTGGGGAGCCAGGACTCGGGATTTCCTAAGACCCTAGTTCGAAGTTGAAACCAAAGGCCTTGACAACAACAAAGCCAACTGGGAAACTCACCCCGATCAGCGCAGCGACAGCACCCGTCCCTTGCATACAATAAAACGTGTTTGAACCACCATTGAATCAACTTCGGGTAGATTCGTTGAAAAGGGCATCAGGGTCTGGTTGCTTACACACATTTGGCTGAACATTGCCAACTTCTTGACAGACGTGGTGTTTGCAAGGAGAACCTGGGGATGGGGGTACGCCTACAGAGCAAATGAGGAGCCCTCTGTTGGAATGGTCTTTCAGCCCAAAGGCAACAACCCAATTGATCACGCCCAAACACCTCTGACTTTTTGGCTGTAGCAACATGGCTATAAAGGCTTGTGTAAGGAGAAGGGTCCGAACCGACGACAAAAAAACAACAATTCAGCCTTACAAACCCCATAATGCCAGGAAGGGACCACAGGCTACTTTGGCCCCTTTGGGGTTTATAAGGCCAGGGGTTCATAGGCGATACTTTTATTACAACGTCAGATAAGCCCCGGCGCCATAGGACCCACCCTCCATCCCCCGTCAAAAAGCCCCCGCGTGACCGGGGTCCGGGCAGCCGCTGGGACCTTGAAGGCTCGCCAATTGAAGGCCACCCCCTCGGATCGAGTGCTTGATTCGAGTGCTTGGATGAGCGCCGTTCAGCGCTTCCTAAGGCCTCAATCTCGACCCCGGATTAAGCCCATCCTCTGAACAGGGGGAGTCCTTGGGGTTAGTGGGAATTCATCACTTTTGAAGGGGAACACCTCCCCCAATAACAAGACAGGTTTATTATTCCGGGGTCAACATGAGGACTTCAATCAGGATTTGCGTATTATATCTTCAGCATGTTGGTCAAGGGCTAAAATGTAAAATGGAGCAGAAACAAAAGCTGACCCAGATGTCAGGGACTATCAAAATTTCAACGTCCCAAAACCTGTCCAGCCCTCCGCTGCCGATGAAGTTTTCCATGGTACAACCCGCAAGCACAATAAAACAACACACTCCTGCAGTGGCGCAAAAAACGGTGTGCTGGTAGCTGATGTTGAAAGGGAGGCCCCCTCCAGAGAAAGGCATCCTCAATATGTCCCTTAATGGAGGTTTAAGAGGAAACCGTGCTCAAAATAGATTTGGACAGGCCTTCAAGCCTTCAGTTTGAGGGACCCTATGAGGTGAGAACAAAAGATGGGCCCTCTGAACCGTGCACCCCCCCCCAACCAATGGAGTTTCTGCTTTCCGTTGGCTTTCTTTTCGACCAGCCTGACAAGTTGGAAAGGGAGACCTCAACACTGGCCTCATTATTTTACCATGATCAAAGTCACCCCCTAAGTCATGAGTTAAAGGGAAACAACCCCATTTTCTGACTTTGATGGCCCTAGAAACGGTCAAAATAAAGACCCCAGCAACAAGACACACACAGAGACGCACAACCTGTCTGCTAGGCATGTGCCTTCACGGCGCTCATCATGTCCTTGAAGGCACCGCGTCTTCCCTGGCCATTGGATGCCCTTTTTTCGGGGGAGTCGTGTTCAAGGGGAACCCAGCCTTTTGATTGGGGTTGGTTTAAAACCACAGCAGGACAATGCCGAAACCCGGGCTTGGGCCCAATACTTCGACACTTGGACACCTGAAGGTGAACCTTCCGGGACCCCCGAAAGGCGAGACATGGACAGCAAATCGGATCGATTCCCTTTGGACTGAGCATTCGTTTCTACCATCGTTCGTTGCCTAAACTCGGCGTTTCTCCGGTGTCTGACGGATGTTTGGAAAGACACATCCAAAAAAATCAGCAGCTGCTGCTATAGTTGCGGAAGCCAAAAGAAACCGACCTCTCCTCGGATGTCCTGCCAGGTCAGTAAGTGCTTCGCCGTTATAACTCCCGATAAGAACAGGGTTGACCCAACCAAGTGGGACTCACAAGTGGGCAATAGCACGCTTACTAACTTCGCAACAAACACCCACGTACCAACACACCTCTGACCGTTGCCGGAAGCCTCTCCCCTGAGAAAAGCTCTTGACTTGCAAAAGCCAAGCTACAGAAGGCCTCGTTACGCGGCCCACATCTGCACACCAAGAAGTCAGATTTTCCGTCTTTGCATCACATTTGGTCTGTCTCTGAGACAACCCCATGCAGGAACTGGGTCTTCTAGTGGAACGAAGCTTCCACGTCGTTTGGGTCAACTCACGGGATTCGATGGCGTAAGGTTCAGGTGGTCCAAAAAGCTGAGCACTCCCGACCCCATGGGAAGACGACAATTGCTCCTTCGAGTCTGAAGGGAACCGCTGAAGGGCTTCCATTTAGATATGCCCGAAAGAGAACTCCCCCCCTTTGCCTCCCACCTGAGCCAGGGAAGGGTAACACTCGTGCACCGTCAAACAATGTGGGTGGGTGGTTCCGACCATGCAGGTAAAGCCATCCTTCACGAAGCTTTCAAAGCATCCATCTCGCCTTGCTCCGGGCTGGCCGCTCTGCCTGAAGGGAAACCAAGCCAAGGTGTTGTTTAATGTGGTTTTGTTGTAGGCTGTCTTTGTGGGTAGCCTGTTCAGCTTGGAAAGGGAAGCCAACAAGACATGCCTTTCTAAGGAGGAAACCGAAGTCTTAAAAGCTTCTTAGAAGCGTTTTTGCCGCATGTCTCGGCTCATTGTGCCGTTCTGGTCGAGAACTGTTTGAGTTGCTGTGGTCTGTTGTGGGTTTCGCTAATGGAAACAAAAGAACTGCCAACATTTTCGACATCCCTCTATTTTGACACATTCCCACCCAACGAGTTTCAATTGGGTTTGTCCCATTCAAAGGGATTCCCTTGGCCACTCTGAATCTGGCAACCTCAACCCCCATCCACCATGGCAGATGTATATGTCCCCTTCAAGGAGCTCAACCTCCAGTTGGTTTCTCTTGGCGTCAACCCCTCCACAGTGGAAACACCTATAAACCTGCAATCCCATCCTTACCCTCAGCGGGGTTTGCTTAGAGGTAGTGAGTTAGACATGTTGGAAACTCCGATATGGGTGTTTCTCAAATAGCATTTGGTCCCCTAAAATGGTTTGGTTTGCCTTGGGTTTCCCTCTAACCAAACGGAAGTCCGAAATCCATGCTGAGAAACCCACAAGTTGGCCCTGAGCTACTTCACTAGGCTACACCCACAGGGAGTCCCACTTCCCGAGTCTTACTTAAGTCCGAAGTGTTGTTTGCCGCTCGGTTTCTCAAAAGACCCAAAAATCGAAAGCTCACCTTTTACGACCTATTGCCACCTAGACTAAAAGTGGACTTAGACATGGGAAACCAACAGGTCAAAAGCTCGGGCTTGGCCGAGTGAGGCTAGCATGGTTTGACCAAAAAGTCAGGCCCGGAACTCAGGAAGGGAGTCTTTTCAGGGGGTTCTCAAAAAGGCTCGTCCTTGGTTCCTCTTGGCGTGAAACCATCCAGCCTTTGAGCAACTCCCAGAAGGTTCCGGTAGCTGGCTTGGGCCTGCTCTAAATGGGTGTGACCTAAAATAGGGGACCCCAAAATGGGTATGTTCCATTGAAATGTTCCATTACGGGGTGGCCTCAAACACGAGACACATCCTTACATCGTTTGTACTCGGAGGTGGATTGAGAAGCAAGTCATTTGACACGTTCTTAAGCTTCCCTCCCCTCATAGCCTGGCTGAAGTTGTCCTTGAAAAGCCTGAGTCGCGGGCGGAAGTGCCTGGACCCAAGTGACACCCTCAAAGAACGCAACAAACAAAATGATGGGCCTGGGGTTCAAGCCACCATTAAACCAATGGGGGTCAATATAACCACCACTATTTGCCTAAAGAGTTTCATCATCTAAATTCGACCAACCATTCCTTGAACGGGTGTTGACCCTAGGGACAGCTCAAGAAGCCAGGAGCTTCGTCTTGCGAACCTCCCCAACTGTGAAATCCCTAAGGGAGTATTGGAACACCTCCCCCGAATATAGCGAAACATAGGGAAGCCTATGAGGATATCCTCCCGACTTGAATGGAATTGCCCTTCACCATGGTCAGGGACGTCGCTTTAGTTAGTTCGCCTGGCACCCTTTTTATACATATAATGATAATGTAGTTGCCTGCTCTATAATCAGGTTTTTGCTTTTTTGTCTGCGGATCATTAATATACTCCTTCATGAGGGCGAACATAATACTTGTCCATGTCGGCCAATATTTGGGTCCAACATTCGGAGTCTAAGTTTGGCTTCTTTGACTTCAACTTCACGAATTACGCCATCTAATTTCAAGATCAACCTGAATCAAGGAAGCCCTGTTGGGCGTCTTCATCATAGTCAAGCTTGTCGAACCCGCAGACTTTAATGGGAGCTCCCCCTCCCGCAAAAAAAAGACACGCCCATTGAGCAAGGGCACCCCTTTGTTTGAGCACCTGATCTTTCTGACATGCCAACTAAGGGGCTACAATTACGCCATGGCATGAGCAGGCGTTGGGACATGGAGGTTTCTCACAAAACGTACAATGTCGTTGACACTCTTCTTTTTTTTGGCACACATTGAAGCAACAGGCGAATCATGTGTCTTCCCATTCTGAGAAAAGTCCACACACACACAGAAGCAACGTGCTGTCTCAACATCACTGGCCATTCCCCTGACATTGGCTGGACGTAGAACTTTTATGAAGCATTACACAGGCACCCCTGCCAACAACATGCGCAAGACACGGGCACACCTGTCAAACAGGGTCCTGGACACTCTATATAGCAGCAACAAATCGTGCCAATCGCCTTTTAATTTATGTGTAAGTCTTCGTCATTAGCGGCTTGGTGTCCAAGAATAACTTTTGGTGGTGTGTGAAGGGAAGCCAAAAAGGGAAGCTGTGGTTGTTCACAAGTCAATGTCAACCAAGGGGGCCATGGAGTCGCTTTTGTTGTCCAGCCAATGGATAAACACACAAACAACAAACAAAGAACAACATGGGATAAGAAACAAAGCAACAAAAAAACCTCGAATAACGAAATAACAACAACAGTCCTGACACAAAACATGTAGAAGCAGAAAGATGAAACCCTTTGCCATCGGGGGACTTCACGGCGAAGCGATCGTAGAAGCGCTCCAGGCTGTGGTCTTCAACACGATCCCACTCCTCTCGTGCGTGGGCCCAGCCGGTGTGGAATTTGGTGAATCTGGAATCTCCATTCAGGGCTTCTCAACATGGTGAACCCCCTCTTGGTTGGTATTTCATGGGTATTTCATGGAAAAACACAAGGAAACCAACCGCTTTTGAAGACCACTGTTTGAGAAATCCAACGCATTCAGTGGCAATTTGCTGAGTGACCTGGTTGACTCAAGCATAGGGTTGGAAGCAAACTTCATGAGCGAGGTCGCGTACCTTTGTGTGGTCGCCATAGCTTGCCCCAGCTATAGCCAGGTGTTGTTTAGGTGGGGAGACAATAATGAACCCTATTTGCCGGTGGAGGTGCCTGAGGGGCGGTCTCCCATTCCTCGATCCACAAGACAAGATTCAGGGCTTCAAATCTCCAAACCAATCCAAAGCCAATGGAACGCGACAAAGCCAAGGGTGTTTGCTTTTCAAACCAAATGTCCCTTCCGTCAAATGGAGGTGTCCCTTTTTGGTTTCCCTTTAAACCAAAAACAAGTCCCTCGTGTCAGGAGGTCCATGGGTTCATGTCCTGTGCGATCTGCTTGCACCTCTCGCGCTTCACCGCCTCGCATGGAACGAACAGAGTGGCGATTAGCCCGCCATGTGTCTGTGCATCTCAAGGGCACATAGTAAACCAATCTCCAATCTATATACAGAATTGAGTATACATGTGTCGGAAATATATATATGTATACATATGTATATATAATATGTATATACATGTATTGCATACTCATCAACAGAGGGCATGACTTTGAATCTACCCCAGACCATCGACACCAAATCGGTTGCACTTTCCGCTAGCAAGGAGTTCTCAAAATAGTGGTCCCAAAAAGTGTAGTTCTTTTCTTCGGATTCCCTTTTCGATCCACCCCGCAAATGAGGCAGCCTCAAACGAAGACCCTCCTCATGGGGATCCGGAGTGTTTTTCTTTGGCTTCAATCCAAAAAACGAGTTGCACTCTCAAACGGCCCGCCCAACGTCGATACCCGAAATGATATGGCCATGGGTCAAAACCCCGTACCCCCATCCCAATCCCCACTAAAATAGACTAAAATGGGTCCTATCCCAAAATGGAACCATTGGTTTTGAACCATGGCCATATGGCTGGGGCCAAGGCGAGGAAGCGGCGGGCGTTCTGCTGGATGTGGCGCACTGAAGCCACCGCCTTCTTCATGGCGCTCTTCACGCGCGCCCACTCCCCCAGCTGCCCCAAGGTCACCTGCGACTCGTGACTCGAGTCGCAGAGCCAGGAATTTGCTCAAATGGAAGGAACCCAAAAAGGAGGTCCCAAAAAAGGAGGTCCCCAAAAAGGAAGTCCCCACAAACGACGGTTTTTGGGGGTTCTATGTGTTGTTGCAGGTACCACTTTGGGGAAGGGGAATCCCGGGGTGGTCAATGGTAAAACCTGGCAAACCCGGAGGGTTACTTGCTATAGTGGCTTGCCAGGAAGCACTGGGTAGGGTTTGGAGGTAAACATAGTGAATTTAGGGTGCGGCTTAAAATGGGGACCCTCCAAATGGATCCCGGCTTGCCCTTTGGTTTCCCATTATATAAAGCAACCCCAACAAGGGTACCCTCAAACAAATACAGACCGATCAGGTTCTGTTTAACCCTCAAGCAAGGGGGGGGAGGGAAATGAGCGCGTCCACTGTGCGACACACATGGGTGGAGTCTGACACTTGGGTTTCCCTCCAAAGCACCTGGGGTACCCACCAAAGAAAACGTGGCCATTTTCCTGCTGACTTGCCAGGGCCTGGAAAAGGCGAACACCTTGTGGTATTCAAACGAAACATGGGCCATGCGAAAACCGAGTCAGATCCGGTTGGTTTTGAACTGATGACTTTCTTGGCTTCCATTTGCACCCAAGATTCAAGATACCCTCCCAAAAACACATACCAGCATCTCGCTCACTTGCCAAAAGAACATCGACACAAAAGGCGAATACCTTTTTGGGACCTTGATTAAACATGGACCAACACGTGAACAAACACAAGGTCAAAATGGGTCGGATTTGGACAGCCAAGTGTTGTTTCATTGTTATGCATTGTTTGTGCCTATTGTCTAACATGTCTAATTCCCTCAATAATTTAGCGGTATCCGCGTGCCTCCAATTCACACGTCTCGGCCTGAAACCTTCACTGCAAAAGCTGCCGCTTGGTGCCCCTTAGGCCCAGTCAAGCTCTACAGGAAGTTACCTGTACAAGTAGCTGGCTATGACTGAGAATCCGCAGAACCCTTCCGCGACCATCCCTGAAAGCTAGCTGCTCCGAACCATTCTGAAGCCCTTGCGTGCGAACACCCCAAAGCTCTGGGCAAAAAAATGCGGGTTGCCTGGACGCTTGTTGCTTTGTTCGGCTTGTTGCTTTGTTCGGCGCGCCTTGATGATATCGATGTTGTAGCTCCTCGAGTTGCGATTTGCGAGGCAATTGTGGCTGGCCCAACACCCCAGTGGATTTCCATGCGACACAAAGGCCATGAGCCCTTTTGCTCGTTTGCCGATACTTGAAAGAAAGCAATTGGGTGGGAGCCTCGATGTACCAAGTGCTCTTGGCAAACAACTCTTCTAATTACGCGCATTGACTCTTTTCTTGCTACGAAAATAATACATGGGCGTTCTCAACATAGGGCCTAGGGTAGCCCCAAAATGGTTGGTCCTGCTGGGATGTTGGTGTCATGTTGCACCCAGACAAAGCAAGGCGTCCTCAAGGGTCGCCAATTTGTCACCCTCCCCCCACCAAACAAAAACAACACTTTGGGGGCCATGAGGCAAAAACTCGCTTCCTGAGTTTATGGGCCAACAAAAGTCCGAACTTTCAAATCTTACAACGACTCCAAAGCCTGAAGCAGAAATTGGACCCCCGAATCGTGTGGACCTACATCATGGGTTTTCGATAGATTTATCCACGAATCGGTGAGCTCGCTATAAAATCAGCAGGCAACATCATGCTAAAGACCACAAGGTCAAAATGCTTTGTGGAAGATCCTCGTCCGGTTGGCAGCCCGAACATCTATGCCCCAAATTCGGCGACGGATTGACAACCTCTTGAAACTCGCCCGAAACACATGCCTACAGGGACGATGTAGAGACCCAAAAATGGACCCAACAAGTGTTATGTGTTTCAACTAACCAAAAGGAACTATAGGGACGTCTGGGGTTGAATCAGGCAACCAATGGCCCACATCTGGCATGCACAGAAACTCATAGTTTTGGAGGAGGCCCCAGTCTCACGCAGGGCATGTCCAAAAATTGGTCACCCTGAAAATCATGGGTTTACTCGTTCCGTTTGAGCACATCGCTTGACACCCAGCGTGCGCTCCTCCAGCGCACCCTTCGTCCCACCATGATCCAGCGCCCGACCGCCTGCATGATGACCAGTCGACGCCTGCCCGGGCGCGCAGGTTAAACCTCTCCGCTGATGGAAGGCGCTGCTCGTTTTTGGGTTGGTCAAAGAAGACTCAAAGGGAAAATCCTTTGGTTTGGGGGCGTTGCTCCAACTCCCTAGTGGGTGTCAAATTTCGGAGGCTACATGTTCTAGGGTTACCAAGGTGAAACCAACAATCCATCAGGGCCAGCATAAGCCCCGTGCCAAGATAAAACAACCAATAGGGCGACCCCCGAGTAACAACTGGGGGGGAGTATTAATCAGGGGTCAACATTACCCGGCTGAAGTGATGCTCTGATTTCCTGAAAGGTGTTCGACTTTGTGCCACAACCCCAACTTTGTGGGTGATGCCTCAGTTTTTGACATGTTGTTCGACTTGTAGTGGGGCATCTAAGCCCAAGTCAAGCCGACGTTGCTCTGGGACCCGAACCAAGCCAATGGCTCAGCTTCACTTCGGGTCGATACCGCCCCCATTCCATGCGCCTGGTGCGCTTCCGCTTCGCGGAACGCAAGGCCTCTTCGTCCACAAGGGTACTGGCCAAGGAGTTGTTGCTGGTTCCTGCGAATTCCGAATCCACGCTCCGATCTGGCGCACGAATCAACCCAATGTACGAAAACTTGCCGTGGCTTTGGTGCCATTGCCTGTGGTTTTGGACACACATAGCCGAGTCCTACAACATTACATGTATACGGAGAGCCAACTAAGTACAAATTTGGTCATGTCTAAGTTTGGTTTTAAAGTGCCGCACGACCCCATTCCAATTGTCAGGGCCTTTGTCTTAGTTCCCCTATTTGGTGGGTCAAAAAATCATCTCTGGGCGCGTATCCATCTTAATCAACCCCAGTATATTGATAGGGAGTGTTGCCTCCCCACTAAACCCAGGCTAATATATCAAGACCAGCCGAGCTGAGACTAACCATTTTAGGGGCAGACCGAATCCCAGTTTGCAAAAACACATCCGGAAAAAAAAGGGGGGGACAAAAAAAACGGGAACAACCTGAAGTAGCAGGGTCGCATTTGCGGCTTCTCAGACTTTGGGCCAAACCAGAAGAGGTTCCTTTTGACCTTGAAATTGGCCCACTCGGTCATTCTGGAGAAACCGTAAAAGGGCGAGTGCCTCCAAATCCGCATCTCTCCGAATGTACTGCATCGCTTCCACCGGAGATGCCCTGACAGACTGCGGGAACTTTCAAAAGCTCCAAAGAGCTATAATAGGACTCCCCCCCTTCCAGTCAGGTTCCGTGTTAATCAGTGAGTGTGCCCTGACAACTCCAAAAACGTGGACTTTGAACATGATGTGTTGACCCCGCGCCGTCTATTTCTCCCCAGAACCTAAAAGAACTCCTATTCTAAGGACCCCAAAAGCTGTGAACCGAATGCTTCCTTGCCCCGATGTCGTCCTAAGAGCCGTTGGGACATGTTCAGCTGCTCTCCGATGGCGGCTTGGCTCAACTTGCCCAGCGACTGGAAGAGGGCGCTGTTCGCGCTGTCCTTTCGACAGGAACGGACGGAAGAAGTTGCGCCATAGCTTGGTTGCTGTTGACCCTTCACGTAATTGCAACACCACAAGCAGGTAGGCTGGGTGTGGCTTGGTTGCAACGGGATAAACAGCGACTGTGTGTGGCCACTGAGCAGGGTGTATATCCCGCTTTCCCGTGGGTGTTGTTGGAATCAAGGTGGCCCCGCTTAGCGGTTTGTAGCCCAATGTCCGATAAGACCTCCAAGTATAACTTACCATACATACCGTGGATCGACACATTCCACTTCGCACAAGTTGGTAGGCGACTTATCCTGGTATGCATAACGTTTTCATCTATCCCGACTGGTGCAGTTTTGTCCATCCACAGCTCTGCCCAGTAAAGGTGGACCCCTGCCTGGAACTACCAACCATGAGGCGGAGATCCAACAAGATCCAACGGCCATCCTATATCTTGGTGACTGTTGCCCCAGTACAAGTTTAACTTTGTGTTGGTGGGAAACCAAGAAGCCAAACTAAAGGGGTCCCCCCCTCCCCCACCTAACAAAAGAGAAACAAGCTCCAAAAAGCCATAAGGGTCCCTCCCCCCCAAACCGAAAAGAACAGAGCACAACCATCATAACGCACCCCATGCACCTGGAGTCTCCATGACCCTTTAAAAATAGGTCCAAGACCCCTTTATTTTGGGTAATGACCAACCATTTTGTAAGGGTCAGAAGGAGACTCTAGGCAGGTCTCTTCTCGGCTTTTCGGAATTTCGAGCGGCCGGCGCCGCCGCCAGCTTATTGGCCAGGTTGTCGATGAAGCCGTTCAGCTTCTGGGCCACCACCGCCTGCAAACTCTCCTCGGACGAGGTCGGACGGTCGGACCACGGTGGGGTGTTTTGGGGTGTACCCCGGATCAACTCGGCCAATTGGGGAGGGGTATGCCGGGAATTTAGAGGAACAAAAAGCACAGGACGGTCTTTTGTTATTTTTTCCGTGTTGTCGTCCTTTGTTTAATCCGGGGTCAACACTACTTGGATCATACTTTCAAAAAGCTGTTGCCCAAAGGACCCGGATATTAGCTTTGGGGTCCTTGACCTTATCACATGGACCAAAATGGGAAAACCATAAGGTCAGATTCCGTCCCAGTTCATTCTAGCCGCGAATCGCCTGTACCCAAGCTGACTGTTGGTCACCAATGGTTAGAAGGATTTATAGGCTGCTCTACTCTTAAACCAAAACACCGAACCACCTCACGGGGCCCTTTTTCGGGGTCGCTGCTCATCTGACTTAGGAGCAACGCATCCCTGGCCGGGGGTATACTGAAAACAATCTACCTCAGTTCTGTGTGTTCTTCGTGTCAAAGATAAACGAAAGGCGGTGAAAGGGGACAAACTTGCTGGTGTCAGGGAATCCACCTAGGGTTTTGGGCCTGAACAAACCTCAAGGGATGGCTTGTAGGGGCCCCCTTCCCTCATTTCCTGCCCTTGGTCATCTGCCAGGCAAAGAGCTAAAGCATCAAGGGTCCAAGAGGGGCCAATCGAGGCCCTGAAGGCCAGGGAGGACTACGTTTAGGTTTGAGAAAACAACAAAACATGATCTGAAAGTGTCCAAGGGGACAGCTTGCCCCGTGAACCCTCAAAGCGATGCAGTGTTTACGCCCAGTTGTCTAGGGGGCAAGCCCTACTTTCTGAAACGCAGGATCCATGTAAATGTGGGGTCTGCTTCTTACTTTACAAGTACAGACCCGAAAAAGGGGGAGCCTCTGACGGGCTTCTTTCTAAGCATAGCACCTTCATCGTGACCGAGATCCTTTCGGCCACAGGTGAGCGTGAGTTCAGCAAGAGCTGGTGTCGACCCATCCAAGGATAGCCAGTGAGGAACATTTGGGTGCGTGTCAAAAGAGGGGTACCCCAGGTGGTGCTCCTTTGATTTCCCTTCAAACCTTCCTGAAAAAGGCACCCTCAACAAAAACTCACATGCCCCACTCTACATCTCAAATATATTTCTTTGAACAATTCCTGAGATGGCCCCCAAGCAAGTCCGAACTGCCACCAAACATGGTCTTTCCGAAATGACATGCCCAGAGCTACCCGGGGACTTGGCCCAGTCTCCAGGTCAGATCGCTCGGAGTGGGAGCGCTCGTAGTCCAAGTAGGCTTGCAAGGGCGCAATGTCGATCCTGGGATCACAGGTCGGGTCTCGGAGGTCAACGAATCATTCCCTTTGGTTTGCCAGAAGATCCCAAAAAACAGTACCTTTGTTGCTTTTGTGTTTCTGTTCTGTCAAACACACTTGTTTTCCCAGCATGGGACATTGGATGGTTCCTTGTGGTTTGTGAGGAACTTAGTAAGTTCCCCATGTCCGTTCCCCAGTGAGTCTCAAATGAAGCGATAAACACCTGACCCGAGCTCATTTGACTTGCTGATTCTCGACAGTTGGAATGACCCCTATCCCTTGTGGTTTCCTGTGCGGCACCCCAGGAACACCTGCCAAAATCCAAAGGTGGTTCTTTGACAACCAGTGAGTTGAAGACAAAGGCGGAGCTTTTTTGTGTGGATATGGCCCAATGGGTCCTCCGCCCGTTTCTGCGCACTGTTGTTCATTTAATACTTCAGATGAATCCGGAAAACCGTGCTGCTCAGGGCTTGCTTGCCATCTTAGCAAGGAAACAATCCTCTGCCTAGGGTCCTCCGGCTTCATTTGTTTTTGCCGAAGTTAACATGGCTCCGAATCAGTTGCCCAACACAGATTTTCGAACACCGAGACGCTGCAAATCCCTGGGCAGACCGCTGCGCATGGAGCACAGCTTTCGGAGGATCGACTCCAGACGCGCGGCCTGACGCTTCGGAGAGTGACGCGAGGCTCGCGCGGCCTGACGGTTGGCTCTACCGAGAGTCTCCACGACCCTTTAAAAAATGGTCGGTCATTACCCAAAATAAAATGGTCATGGAGTCATGGACCTATTTTTCAAGGGTCATGGAGACTCCAGGTAGTAAGTTGTGTTCTTATATATGGTAAAGCTTTGTGTGTTCGGTGATTCTTGAATCTTGCAATATACCAAAAATACTTCCCTCAAGAAAAGACGATACCCAAGTGTTGGTTGGGCCCTCAAAATACCCACCCTTACAACTTGGGTTATTGCATTAAAACAAGTGATGGTGCGAAATCCCATAGTTTCTGGATGTGAGGCTCCAAGTTATGAGGAACATATCCCCTTTTAGAGCAGTTTTATGGGGTGAACTCCACACTTGGAGGGTCCAACTGGTTGGATCACTCGCCTGTCGCTTGGCGAGGGCGCTGTGCTGACGCTGCTCCCAAGTCCGACAGGTGCCGCTGGAGGTGCCGCCGCTGACGATACCTTTGCAAAACCATAATGTTGACTCTATACAACCGCCACTTTCCGTCTACAAGAACCAGGGGTTCAACTGTAAATCCAAACCGCCAAGTAATGTTGACCCCTGATGAATCAACCAAACCTGGATCGCCAGTTGCCGCTTTGTTCCATCCACTTTACCCCAAAAACCAGCAACATTGATTGACAAAAGCAGCAACTTGGCCATCTAGGCAGTTTATTCATAGGGAGGGAGAACCTGGGATTCGTGCGGAACCGTCACTTTTGGAGAGGAACACCCCCATCTCCTATGGTTTCCTTTAGTGGATCTTTTGAGATTCATTCCATGCCTCATTCCCTGCCTATCGCACCAGCAAGGAAACCCTCATAGTGATCCGCATGCTATGGGTTGTGGATCCGCCCTTTTGCTTTTTTTGGAGAAAGGAACGGGTCCCACCAAAAAGGGTACCCGATGTTTTCCCTACTGTGAATTACGAAATCCATTTCGTACACATAAATATGAACAAAGAATGGATTCAACATTGGTGCAGGATTTAGAAATCGTGATTGCTGACACGATTCCCCTAATGCCTAGTCCATCCACCGTGGCTTGTCTTCCTCTAGGATTCGGACCCCAACAAAGGTGGGTTTTCCTTTTGTTCCTTTCAAACACCAGCAAAAAGGGTACCCTCCAAAAAAAGACACACCCATATGGGTGTTGATTTTCCTGGGACCCAACATGGCGGATATCAAGATTCGGTGGAAGTGGGGATGCATCTCCACCAACCAACCGCTTTTCAGGTGGTTCCCCATTGAATTCCTAGCCAGTCTCAAAACCAGTAACAGCATCAGCCACCTGCCAAGTCCACTTCCGTTAGTCACGAGGACTTGATTGCCCTCTTCTGTTGTTCGACTGGTGTTGTTCCCTGGCAACTGTCGCAGAAAGGGAATAAAATTGCGCTGACACTCACACGTGTTTTCACTCCCAATACGGCAAACCCACAGTGCGGCTTCATGGGGGTAGTATATGTTTGAAGCCAAACAAGAGCCATGTTAGTGGAACTGAAACGCAACGGGTGCAAAATGTGCTGCTCGCATCATGAGGTTTGGTCTTATTTGGGAGGAATTCTCAAATTGTCCAATTGTATTTCAAATTGGATGTTTGTCATCCCTACCAACGGGTGATTCTCCAGAGTGATTCAAGCATCCCGTGTTGGGTGGTTGTTAGCCCTCAAACGTAAGCCTTGGGAATGACCAGCAGGTAAGTTGTCGTTTGATTCCAGTCGTTTAATTGGAAATCATCCTGGAATGTACAAAATCCAGTTGAAGCATGGCAGTTTGATCAACTCAAGTGGACCACGCCGGCGGTCGGTTTCGCGGACTGGGTCCAAAGCCGACCTTTGGACCCGTTTGGTTTTCCCATGGTCCATGTTTAGTCAAGGTCACCTAAGGTCCCAAAAGGGTTGACCATCCCAGTTTCTAGCTAGGTGCAAAAGGTGTCCTTTTGGTGCTGTATTCTAAGAAACCAGCTACAGGAACTTGTACAGCACTTGCTTCCTTGTCGTTGTAAGGTGTTTGGACCAGTTTCTGTACATCCTATAGCTGGCCTCTATGTTTGTTGTGTGCGGCTAGGCTAGCTTCTCTCCGGTATCAAACAAGCAGCTAATGCATGGACGGCAGGATCGCCGACAAGGTATGCTGCGACCGGCATACTCTAACGTCAATTTCTGACCAATTTCTCGGAGTCAGTGTCCCCATCACCCACTCACGCCATAAATAGGGCATTGGCCTGGAAACGTCACTGTCCTTGTTTTACGTTGACAAACACCTCTGTTGAAGCACTGCAACCAATTCTGTTGAAGCACTGGGTGTAGTACGAAATTCTCAACAGTGGGCATGTAGGGTGTTTCTGAAATCACGTATATCCAGCCCAATCCAAACGTTTGAGTTAACCTGGCGGTGGAAGGCCACTTGAGGAAGAGCAAGCCATTTCAGGTGGTTCGGTTGCTACCTGGTACACAAGAAGGGCTTTTAGCAACTCCAGCATATATGTTCCAGGCCGTGGACCCCCCCCCCCTCCCCCCCCCAACCCCCCCCCCCTCTGTACAGGGTGGGGTGGGGGTGGGGTGGGTGGGTGGTGGGGTGGTGGTGGGGTGGTGGGGTGGTGGTTGGGTGGTTGGGTGGTTGGGTGGTTGGGCCAACCCCCCCCCCCTTGTGGGGGGTGGGGTGGGTGGTGGGGTGGTGGGGTGGTGGGGTGGTGGGGTGGTGGGGTGGTTGGGTGGTTGGGTGGTTGGGTGGTTGGGTGGTTGGGTGGTTGGGGTGTGGTTCGGAGTTGGTTTAGGCTTGGTGGGTTGGTTTAGGGTTGGTTCAGGGTTGGTTCAGGGTTGGTTTGCGGTGGGTTTCGGGTGGGTTTGGGTTTTGGGTTGATTTAGGCTTAGGGTTGGGGTTAAGGAGGGGTTGCAGGGTGGTTTGGTTTAGGGTAGGATGTTGCGAGAGGTGCGGGGGTGTTGGTTCTCGGGGTGAAAGGGGGTCTGGGACCGAAGCTGCAGGGCTCGCACGGTACTGGACAGCATCCCCAGCATTGCCAGCATCATCCCCAAGATGCGGATGATGCGGGGGAGTGGGGGGAACATACCATTGGGGGGGGGGGGACGTGGCCCAGGGACTCGTACATATATGAATAAACCCTAGCTGGGTTGTGGAAACACTTACAACCAAAGGATGTGGAAACAAAACATGACCTGTTCACGTTGCCAAGGGAAACCCCAGACGACAAAAGAGCTCACCTTGTTCGGGCTTGACAAAATTTGACTTCATGGGTTTCGTGACAGCTTTGGTTATGCATATTACATGCTACTGCCGCTTGAAGGGGTTCCCCAGGTCAAGGCTCATTTTGAGACACCATGCATTGGCACAAACAGAATCACTCCAAACAACTCGGCTCTTTGTTAGCTCTTTCTTGAGGGAAATCCCTAGCCCGATCCATCCCAGGGACACCAAAAGGCGGGCCCTTTTCGAATAAGTAAGAACGAATTGCCCTGTCCAAAATGGACAGGGCTAACTTTGGATGGGATGGGCCAAAAGTCCCTATAAACTTTTTGAGTGCCACTAAAATGGTCCAAGCACCAAAAGTGTAAAGAGTGCCACTAAAATGGTCCAAGCCCCAAAAGTGACAAAAGTCCACCTCAGGAAGTGAGGACAGCGCAGGTCGACAGCTTCGATGCGACCGAGAAGCTGAAGGTGGACTTCCCGCCGGTGGATCGGGGGGACACAGCATCCGCCAAGGCCGAGGCGGATCTCTCCGCCTTCTCGCGCGAACGGAGGGCGTCCATGAGCGCGTCAATGCCTTGGATGTTCGCTGCCAAGTGGATAGCTTGGGATATAACCCGCTAACAACAGGGTTGACCCCAATGAAAAGGGACGAACAAAGTGGGTTGTTAGCTAGGTTCCCAACAACTTGATGCATGAGCCGAAAACATCAGCTGGTTTTCTCTAGAAACTGGGAAATCTACCCAGAGAACCGCAGATGTCGCAGGCTTTTATCTCTTTTCTTTGTGGGGGGGGGGGGGGAAGGGGTTGATCATTTTGCAGCTACCAGTTTGGGTGAGGATTACCCTTTTTGGTTTGGGCCCAGTTTTTGTTTGAGTGCAGGTTGCTTGCCCCTCGATGTTTATGGTTGATCGGTTGGTCCTGAAGTTGCAGTTTTCACGGGAACCCAACATATACTGTTTTCCTTTTCCTACAAGCAGGCCGGAGAGTGGAAACCAACAGCTCAAAAGGTGGGCTTTGAACCGTTGCAGTGGAATCGCAGTGACGTGTTCGACCCATGTCCAGTGAGCATCGGAGTTGCCATGGCTGCCCTTGCCGTGGCTCTCAGTTAGTCTTGGATTTTGCTGGGGTCTTTGTACGTACGCCTCCCCCAAAAGGCATTCTCCCCAGGGGATGCCGAAAGTGGCCTGGTAACAGAGCGCTCCCCTTCGAACATCACCCCACCAAAAGGAAGCTCGTTGACTTTAGATTGGACGAAAAGCTGATGCTGGAAACTACCCTTCAAGCTCCAAGAGAAAATGTAGGGGGTGAATGCTCTGTTGATTTGTTTTAAAGGGAAACCACATGGAAACTTCCATTTGCTTAGGTCCCCTGGAAAATTGAAATATGTCCAGTAGTGAAGTATTCCCTTTAAAACCAACAGGGGAGCTTTGAACAACATTCTTAAGCAAATGGAAGGAAACCAACTATTTCGGGGCTTCCGATTCCCATTCTGCGACAAACCTATAGGGCATGACATGTTGGGGTAGTCCCTCTCTGGCGCCTCGCCTTTCTTCGCATCTTGGGTGGCGCACTGGTTGTGATTGGATGTGCTTCTTCTTTTCAGAGCGAGCTGAAGGAAGGCAAGATACCCCCCCTGTCACAAACGTGGAACAATGTCTGGGGGGTGCGTTCAAGAGGAAATCGACCTTCCAGATATCCTTCCAGAGGTGCTATGTTTCCGGGAGGAAGTGTAAACAGGTAAGCCAAGTCTTGCTGCTTAAAGGGACCGTTCGTCTCTGGAAAAGCCTGAAGTAACAACAACTACTCCAAACTGACATGCAACCCGACCAGGTGGTTCCCCATGAAGCCGGTCCCTCCAACAGTGGTGCTGTTGTCCGGTTCCGTGTAAATGTGCAAGTATAAACAGCTGGATAATGCGCTGCAGCATCAGCTCCAGTGCCACAGTAGCCTCTTCGCACATGTTGAACTGTGCGTAGTGTGTAAGCAAAGGTTCAGGGTTAAAGCGTGTATTTGGGTAAAACATAATGAGTCACCAACCGTCCACATATCTTTCTCCCCTCCGTGTCACTTTAGCCAGGATTCCCTTGGTATCACAGAAAGTGACACTAAATCCCAACTATCCACGGCAATGAATTGTGTTGAACCATTCTGACCTTCCTTCCTGCATCCTTGGAAAATAGTCAGGGCTTAACCCCCAAAGAATGGCCGACCCCGAAGGTAGGTCTCAGGGTTCAACTGTTCAACCCACCAAAACAAACTCTGACCCCATGTAGATGAAGCTTGGGTAAAGAATGGTGGTTATGTTCACCCCGGTTGTCATGGTGGCGAATGAACCCCGTGGAAGCCGATCCGACTCGAGGCACTGGTCTTGCCGTTCATCTGCAGGCACCGGCTCCTGGAATTCGCATATCCGGAACTGGGCGTGGAAAACCACGACTTCTTGGGCTGTTGCAAAGGAAAACCCCAACGAAAACCTAACCCTTTCAGGGGTCCCCTAGTTTCACCCCCCCTTTTTTTCCGTATGATAGGAAACCAAGGGGACCCTTTAAACACCAAAAGGAGTGATTCCAATGGTTCCCTATAACTGGGATCTGGCGATGGCAGCAACCCAACGCCCAAAGCCATACGCATCACTGGTTCATGCGCATCACGACAGCTAAACGTGTAAAACTTGCTGTGAAGCCTCATTTATGGGTTAGCCTACCATGTTTGGGGTCCCCCTATCTTATTTTTCTAAGTTTTCAACAGAGTCAACAAATATGTTTTGCTGTGTACCGCAGATGTGGGCCAAGATGACTTTCAGGTTTATTCTGAGCCAACCAAAGTTCCCACCAACACGGCCTACATGTCAGGCTTTGCATTTGACCTTCTGCAGGCTTGCCGGAAGAATCCATGCCAGGCGCCAGCTGTGTCTGCCCCTGGAAACAGACGAAAACACAGGATAGGGATACCCTGAAAAAATGGACACTGCCGGTTGTAAATTGTCACTCAAAACCCACAAGAAAACAGGATAGGGAGACCCTCAAAAAATGGACCAACTTGCCGGTTGTGAGTGGCAACTGGTTGATGACCCACCAGTGCCAAGTGGATGTCCACAGCTCGTCTTGGTTCCTGGCCCTGAGCGGGTCACCCGCATGGTCACCCTAGATCCACCACAGAGTGCTTGGGCCAACTGTTGCCCAGTATGAGAGGAATCAGCAAAGCAAGAACGGCCCACGCAAAGAGTCCAACAGTGCCACACACACAGGCTATCCCGGAAACATGTAACAGCAACTAGACAGGAGTGTGTAGAAACAGGTCCCTTCTCACTGGCCTCATTCATCTAGGCTCCCCTTGGCCGCACCAGACTCGCCCTAGATCATGCTCTCAATGCTCTGTGTTTCCTCACTTTCCTCACTGGGGAATACAAAACCACCGGCAAGGGATAATTATTTTCAGGGTTTCACAAATGGATCCATCGATTTTTGCTCTCCCGCGATCCGGCCTCAAGCCCTCCACATCCACCAAAGACACGATCTCCGGACCCAACCTGGAGCAACTTACACCCTTAGCACCTTGTAGAGGAAATGTCAAAGGACTCCCTCCAAATCCCCTCTTTTTCCGGGGATACTACAGGTTTCATGGTTTGTACCCCATTTTTAGTCAGGGGTTGACATCCAATAAAACAGGGTATTGGGTGTAGGGACGTCTTACTAAAGCGGCTAAATAACCCCTGTTTTGGGGGCCTCGAAATGCAACCATAAGCAAAGGTCCGTGCGAAACCCCGTCCAACTTCGGAAGGGAACTCTGAAAAGGGAAACCAAGGAGAACCGAACCGCAACCAAGCCATCTGTCAAAGGCTCCCTCAACAGGGAGATTCCGCAAATTAGTCTTCCCACACTCCCACAGCATTCTATCAGCTTCGATGATTGCGAGGATGAACTACATGAATCGGACACACACAGACAAGCCCCGAGTACGAGTTCGTTCTGCTTCCCTCGCCATGTGTGGAGTTCATGGGCTGTGGTTTCGGGATGAGTCGCTGTGAGTCCAATCAATTCCCATCCTCAATGAGAACTGCGCGGTTTTGTCGCGATGCATCAGGGATGAGCCAACTGAGGGACAAAATGGGCGTCTCTTTTTTGAGGGTACCCCCTCTTGGTGGCCCCCTATTGCAGCGTCCGAATCCTGAAACAAATACACTCACGTCGTGCACCAGTTCACTTTGACACCCTGTGAGTCCAAGTTACCCGATCAATTGGCCCCGAATTCAACCTGGTGGGTTGGGGCTGCGGCTCCGGTGTCGGCCCTATCAACCAGGGTGCTTTCTGGGTTCCACTAGTCCGGCACCATCCCCCTCAAGCAACTAGGGGCGTGTCTGTTGTCCTGGGCCAAGACGCGGCCGTGAACTTTAATTGATTTGGTTTATATAGGCAGTACTACAACCTCAACTAGGCTAGGTAGCAGAGCCAGCTACTTGAACGGCTATAGACATTTTATTCGGAATCACCAACCACGGGCAACGACAGGCGGTGCCGCCATTTCGGGCCAGTTGAAATTCATGGCCGATGTTGGGGCCTTCAATCTTCAATCGCCTTCGTCGGAGACCCAGAACTGCCAAAAGTCCGGCGGCGGATCTGTGCCCTAATGCGGAGCGCTGATGAATGGCCTCCCTTGATATTTTTCAAGGGTGACCCTTTTTACTGAGAATTCCTTTCTTCTAGAAAGTCCCTGATTAGCAACTGGGGGAGTACTACTGAGAGGTCAACCTTGCCAAACTTCACTTTGCTACCGTCACCTGCAGAACAAATGTTACCTTTTTTGTGTGTGTGTGTGTGTTGGTGGGAAGCGCACCTTTCCAGCCCAGAAGCTCCAGGTTCCATCCAACCAGCCAAGTTCATGGTTTTGATGGCTGGCTCGTGTAACTTCCACTTTCCACTTAGCTAAATGGCCAGCTTTGCCCGCCACAAAGCCACACGACTTACAACCGCTCTGGGTAGCCATGGCAAAGCGAATGCGATTCGTCCTGCCCCACGGTGCATATGGGTCTGTATTTCAATTTCAATTTTGGGATGCCAAATCCCGATGTTTGACACATACCCATACACTTCATTGCCTGTGGTGGATTTGAGAGACGTATCCTCACTTCACTTGGCCAGTGACCATCCAAACCAAAGTGTCCACCTGCGTGAGTCACGAAGAACGGCCCCTCTTACAGACCGCTCGTGTGTTCGTTGCCAGGTTCCTAAGTTGTTGGAAACCTATAACCCACTTCTAAGTCCCCCTGTAGTGGCGTCCCGGTTTGTGGGCTTGACCTACATCTGGGTGAATTATAATATATTTCACCAGCCTGAAATAAGGTTCTTGAGGGGCTATTCCCCGCATGAACCACCATTTGGGGTGAGATCGTGTGAGGTCGTCATAATTCACCCAGCTAAATCAGCTAAATGGCCAGCATCCCCTTCACTTCATCGCTGCGGCGCAGGCGCGGGCCCTCCACCTGCACGGGGCACATGGGGATGGCGGCGGCGGAGTTCGGGGAGTTGGACCCGGAGTCGAACTTGCGGCGGTTCTCGATGCGCAAGGCCACCTTCTTCCTGGGGTCCTCGGCTCAGCTCCCCCAAAAACAAGGTCCCGACACCTGGATTCATCGCAGGTGTTTGGCTCAGCTCCAGAAAAAGTCGCGACACCGCAGGATTCATTCGCAGGAGTTCCTCTTGTGTCTTTTTTCAGCTCAGGTCTTCGGTGTGTCTCACCGCAACGTTTGAGCTTCGGCCCCGGAACATATCGAAATGAGGAAAGATATGTCCAGTGATAGATTCCCAGTGCGAAAATCATGCGAAAGGCAAATGGAAGGCGCTCTTTGCGGTAGGAGTCGGAGCTGGGACACAAAATGGGCTTCCCCGCCACTCTAAATCGGGCACCCTCAAAACAATGGACAGAGAGCCCAACAACTTCTCACCCTATTTTTAGACCCTCCTGCAATCCTGGTTTCCTGAAACCCAACACCCTCGGGGCAGCGCCACTGGCTTTGGAGGGTTTCTCCCAGGAAAGGTTCTTACGGGGTCTGATCGAAGGGGTCCCTTTCGGGTTTTATTTTGGACAAGGTAGGGTTGGCTATGGGACCACCTCAAAAGCGGGTCGACATGAAACCAGTCTTTCATTTTATGGAACTCTGGACCTTGGCCACCCCCACGCACAACTTGGCCTGAGGTGCACAGAACATCAAATCTGCGTTAACGAAACACCAGGAAAACCACCATGTTGTGGGTGCCCCCCCCCAAAGGTTTCGGGTCCACCGCTTTAAGTCCAGGTCGCCGCAGCATCTTGCTCCTTCTTCCGCGCCCGCCGCTTCTCCTCCTCCCATTTCCGCTCCTCTTCCCTCCGCTTGCGCTCCTCCTTCTCCTCCGGCCAGCACGCGATGCGGGCGCGAAGTGGGCGACTCAAAAGCTTGCAAAAGAAAATGCGGAAAACAAAAGAGAGTGGGATAAAACTCAGCCCCCAAAAGAAGCTGAAGCGTGGAGAACTCCCGCCGCGTTTGGGGTACATGTTTTTTTTTCCTTTGATAGGATGGACAGTCAAAGGGGGGTGCAGTTGGGGCTACCTGAGCTTGGGAGACCCCCTACCTGAGCTTTTGGGCTAGCCACGGTTCAAATTGCCCCTCAGGGAAACCACCAGGCGGCGCGGAGATTGTTTTACTTTTCCGAGACAGCTTACATCCTGTCCCTCGAAGAAATGATGACCGTTGCACCCTTCCCCTTTGGAAGCTTCGAGTGGCTCCCCACAGACTTTCCGGAGCCAGCTGTCAGCTGGGAGAGTCGAGCAAAACGCGGCTCGGCCCAGCCCCACCTGCTTACCTTTGAAGTTCTCAAAGCGCAGGCCCCGCACAATATCTTCCAACCTGCGCACGCAGTTTGCTTTAGACTTTGGATGGAGGCTCTCCAAAATGAGAACTCGGAATATCTGGTTTTCCTCTAAAACTAGCTAACATTCAAAAGGGTTGCCCTCCAGAAAAGACGAGCCATATCTTTGACAGGAGTCACGTCAACAGACTTCGGACGAAGCCAATGCTCAAATGGTGAGGCACAAATCCAGGGGTCGAATTACCAAGGCAAGAGATTCCCCTCGCTCTGCCCATCGACCCATCGGCCCATGGCCTGTCCGTGACACCTCGGATGTCCTGCAGGGGGCGATTCAACCCCATGTTTACACCATGATGCATGCACCCCTTATTCAATCAAGCACCTTTGCCTCTTCAGATTGCGATTGAAATTTAGTCTACAATACCCAACGTTTGCTTCCCTAGGGGACCGAAAGGGCTCCAGGTCCCACCAATATTGCCCGCACCTTGCCGAAGGAATCCGACAACGTCTCCAGCGAGTCCCGGCGATGATCCGAAACCTCCGCCACCTAGACCAAGGAAGCGAAGCCGTCGGTCGAAGAGGAATTGGACTTTTGTGACCTCGACTAAACCTCCATTTGGGTGAGTGTTTTTTGAGGGGATCGCCCCAAAATGGCGGGTTTCCTTTCGATTTCTCTTTAAAACCGCAGAAAAGTGGGCACACTCAAAAAGACTCACCCATTTCTTTGAGCCCCTGCGAAAAAGTGCGTCCAAAGAGAGAGAGAGAGAGAGAGAGAGAGAGAGAGATTACCTTTAAAACCAACCGGGGTCCTCTTGTACGAATCAGCCAATCAGCCAGCCAGCCGGCCAGTCGGCCAGCCAGCCAGCCAGCCAGCCAGCCAACCACGAACCCACGAACCCACGAACCCACGAACCCACGAACCAACGAACCAACGAACCAACGAACCAACGAACGAACGAACAAACCAACCAACCAAATCACGCAACATTTTGAGGCGCCAAGGTTTTGAATTGAAGAGGTTAAACCAGACATCAGAAGGTTCTGCGGCTAATGCTAACTCACTTCCTGAGTGGATGGGCTGAACAAGTCCCTAGACTATTGAGTGCCACTAAAATGGTCCAAACCCTAAAAATGACTCAACCTGCAGGACCCATTGATATAAACAAATGTTTGCTCGAGCTTTCGTGACATCGTGGCAGAGCTTTGGCTTTGAGCACTTTTTGGAATTGCGCCCGAGTTGCGAATTGCGGGTGCGTTCTCTCTCGAGCACTTCAGATTCACCAAAACAGCTATGCAACCTCAAATGGTGCTTGCATTGGATTGAGCTGACAAAAATTGGCTCGCGGAGCACGTTTTTGTGTATCAAAGGGTCCTCCAGGAGGTCCGAAACGGAACTAACAACCTCAGGAGTTCGAAAGACATGGCCTTGGAACTTTCTGAAAAGTCAACCGAGTCAAACCCTATTGGCCTGGCTGCAGGTGGTCTGCTGCATCAGCTGCTCATTGAAGACCTCCTGGGCTTGGGGCGATGGACCAAACAGCTTCCCTCCAATTGGCATTGTGGATTGGTGGTGGATTGGTGGTTTGGTGGTTTGGTGGATTGGTGGTTTGGCGGTTTTGTGGTTGAGTGGTTTTCCATTTACCCAAACCCCTTCCCAGTTTCCAAATTTTTCTCGCTTCCGATTTACAAAGACCAAGGGTTCAAATCCCCAAATCACTAATCCAAAGCCATGGAATACTCTCTTTCCCACAACGCAAGTGGGACGCCGAAAGCGGAGCTTCCAACCAAAAGGAAAGTAACGAGTCCTCCGGCACCTTCCATTCCAGCGTCAATCCACCCAGAGGTTTAAACAACCATTAGGTTCCCCAGTTCATGGGATTAAACAACGTGAACAAAACCAAGCACTCTTCCAACAGACACACATACGCCCGAATCGGGTTTGGGTTTGGTGTGCGCACATGTGTCTGTGAATTGTTGGTTGGTGCTTGCTGGTTTGGTGTTAAAGCCATAATTGCTAACGTTCACATGGCCAACATTGGAGTGTCTGGGAAGGGAAGCCCAACGAAAGCCGCACTTTCCCCGGGGGGGCAAGTGAATCCCAAAAAACGAAAGCCGCACCCGCCTTGCGGCTGTTCTCCCGCCGTGCCGACGTGGAGGGTCGTCCGCCGCCCGGGCCTTGGATGGGATAGACCCCCGGCCATTCGGGAGAAGCACCCCCAAGCTCCCAAACTGGACATTCGTGAACGCTAAACCTCAAACCTTTCGGATTTATTGCTTGTCTAGCATCAGCCTTGTCAAGGGCAAGATGTAAAATGGTACCATATGTTGGCCCAGAAATCAGGAACACGCCTGTTTACCCCGGATCGAGCTCGATGGAATTTGCCGAGACTTGCGTGAGGGCCGTGATTACCCAAGGTAGACTTAAACCCAGGGACTCTCGATTTCCGCACAGGTCCTTTTCTTTCACCAAGGTCAAAGTCAGCTTTCGAGGCTCAAACAAAAAATACGGTTGCGGCTTCTGACTTGGACAACCCCAGTCAAAATGACTCCCTGGGATGAAGTCCGCCCGGGAAAATTAAGCCCAGTATCCCCAACAGCAACCAACGGTACCGGAACCCTTCGGAAACTCTGCCTCCGAACCCTCTGAGCCCGCTCTGCATCCCGGAAACGCGTTCCCTCATGAATCTTTTGTTCGTGCTCGGATCGGGGAAGCTGCCACTTAGGACCATAGATTTCCCCTTCCCAAGTTGCAGTTGCCGGGTGAATCCGAACGACCATGCCGCTAGTTTTTGGATAAGCCCAACGCCAAAGGGGGCCGTTTGGCCATCGGTCGAAGTCAAAACGAATCGAAGTCAAACACGCCGCGTTTTAGGTCGACTCCTGGAGCAAATTGAGTCAAATTGAGAGACCGGTGCAGGCGAAGGGCATCTGCCCAAAGATGGCTCCGAGCAGCTCTTGAAGACCGCCTGCCGGTTTGTTGGCCTTCTGTGAGCCTCAAATCAAAATTGGGGCTAACAGGAGAAGCTTTGGGCTCCAAGAAGGAAACCAGCCCGTCTTCGCGGTTCCCGATTCTAAAACAACCCCTCGCCAAAAGGAACCTAGTGCTAAGCAGCTTCCCTCTAAACCGGTGGTTTGGATTTGTGGTTTGGAGGTGAGATGGGGTGAACAAAAACATTTACCAGTTCAACTCCGCCACAAATCCCCAAACCACCCAAGAAAACCCTGATGCTTGCCTTCTGGGTGCTAAATGTCCCGTCTCCTTAGCATCATGGGCTGTTTAGCACCCAGCCTCAGGAAAACCAGATGGCTGCTTAATCACTTTGCTGGCACAAGGGCCATTTTGACAAGAAACCAGGAGGTTGTGTAAGCGATGGGAGTTTTCGCCGGAAAGGAAGCCACAAGGGGAGTGTTTAAAGGGAACCTCGAGAAATAACAAAGGGACAAGGTGAAACGAATTGACATGGATGTTCGAAAAGTGGGTCTGAGTCTGGCAATCTTAAAAAGTAATCCATTGCCTTGTGTTTTCATTTTGGAAAAAGCAGACATTGTGGGCTATTTAGAACGCCAATGATGGGGCTCAGTAGGGAATCAACAGGGGATGTGGATAGACCGCTTTGGATTTGGGAACCTAATTGGGGGTTCTCCGTAGGGAATGAGGGAATGTCCCCGTTTAAATTGACTCATCCCTTAAAATGTTAACCCCGGATGAATACCCCCCTCCTATTCATAGGGGGATGTTCCCTCCGAATCCGGGGTCAGGCCAGACTGACAATGGGAGTGGGCTTTTATTTTCCCCGATCGCCTGCCCCGTGCGGCTGAAGGCCCCATGCCGCCCTGACCGGCTGTCCTGGCGGTTGAGCAAACGGACTAGCAAGGGCCTAGCTGCTTAGAGTTGGAAGCGGATGCGTTAGCACTGCGTTAGCAATCCGCTTTGCTTACTCACATGAAGGGATTGTGCCATGTATCTTAATTTTGGTGAAGAGTGGGGTTGGGGGGACTACAAAGCAACAATTAGCTATGATTACAGGAGTACAATGGCAACTGCTTTCTAGTCCGGCCCCTTCATTTTATACTACGGCAAGCGCAGTCAAGGCAACTGTCAGCCTGGGTTCTGCAGCCACGCTAGACACCACGTACTTAATATCACTGATACGCTCGCAATGGCACTCGCACGATTGGGAATTAAACAGGGCGGCCTGGAAGAAAATAAGTATGCCTTCCCTTTGGGCTATTTCGCTTCCCGACATTTGCAACCAACTTCACCACAGAGCGAACAAAGCCGGAGCTCCTTGCGCATGTGCTGCCGCCCGGTCTGGGACATGAGGCCTGTGATCGGCCGCGGGAGGTTCGCCATGGCAACATGGGACTCGCCGGTGACCGGCCGAGCGACACGCGCGAGATGCTGTGGCCGCTGTCTGCGGTCTACGAGCCTACGGTGTCGCTGTTTTTCTTGTTGCTCAGGTGCTGTCCCTTGTGCCACTGCAAGGATTCTTGCCGTCCTTTGAGACCTTAGGTGTTTTTCTGCTGCGTCACCATCGATTCTTTCCCGAAATGCCACCGCAGTCACATGCCGAGTTCCCCTAAAGGTGATGCTAAGGGAGACTCTGACTTGCTCTCTGGTTGCCAGCAGCTGTCTTCGACAGGCTGGTCACCTTTGAACCACGGCGAATTGGCGGTACAGGTGTGTCACAAAGGCTCCCCTTTACACCTTGATGAAAAGGCTCCCCCGTATTGGCCTGTCTTTTGGCTGATGCCTGCCTGTTGTCCTCTTGTTTGAGGGGCCTCTTGTCCTGTTGTTTGAGGGGAAACCAGCGAAACATCACCCCACGTTTACTCCTTAGGCACGGAGATTGCTCCGGACCCGCACTGGACGTGTTGACAGATCTGTTGGTGGAACAACACCCCCCCTTTTGATGAGGGGTGGTGGTTAAAAAAAAAAAACGGGCTAGATCATTAGAATAGGGTTCTGGGGACTGTAAAAGCTCTATTTGGTTATTGGCGCAGAAAACTGCTAGCACATACTATACCAGCTTCTTTTCAGTGCCCTCGATTCATTTTTTGGGTGCTATGATCCATTTTGAAAATAAGGGCACTTAGTCCTAAATCAAAGAGGTCACTTAAGCCTTTTAAAGGGCACTTAGACCCTCAGGGTTGCCCTCCCCAGCAGATCCCTCCTCAGTCCGGGCAAATCGAGTCGCAGCGACACGTGAATGCGAATGACACTCACACGGGGGCGGGACCGACGCTGGGCAAATCGAGCCGCAGCGACACGCAAATGACACTCACGCAGGGGGGACCGACACTAGCGTAAGTGACCTTTTCAAGAGGTAAGTGACCTCGATTCGCACCCCAATGACACTCAAATGACACGCTTTGACACTCAAAACCGCCATGTTCGGGCTTTCCGGGTCGGCGCCAATCAAATGTGGCAGTTGTCACGCTTCGACACGGGTGGCTCTTCGATTTCAACAGAATCCCAACCCGTATCAAGCCAAAAAGGGCACTTAGCAAACGAATCAAAGGGGCACTTAGGCCCACCGACACTGCCTTAAGTGCCCTCGATTCAAAAACAGGCCAAGTGCCCTCCATTGGAGGGCACTAAAAATATGCTGGTATATATATATATTATACATACTTTTTATTAAACATCAAGCAGCAACCCTCAACTGTTTCTGTGGTGCAAATCCGATCGCAAAGAGCCCCCGGCCTATTGATATGAGACAACCTCCTGAAATCATTTGCAAGCATTGCCCCATTTGACCTCCACAATGAACGGTTTTATAATGGCTTTTTGGATCCATATTTCCCATGATAATATCCAGCAGAGGAACTATAGACACTGTTGACATGGTCATGACATTTTAATACGCAAGGTTGTAGAAAGCAACCCTTGCTGTGATGCCAAAGCGGACCATCTCCAAGACAACTTTATCATACTTTAGCCCTTCGGGGGAATCCCTTATCACACACACAATCAAACAAAAACGACCCTGATGTAAAAAGAAGTAAGAAGCCTTGACTCCTTGCGAACCACAAGGGAAGCGCCGCCCCGTTTGACCTTGATGTATCCCATCATCGAATCGATTCGCCTCAGTTCCCAGAAACCGTGGGCCAAACAACAGTCAAGAATACATAAACATCACCTGCCTCACAAGCGGATCCCAATGAGATATTAGCTTGCACATCAAGCCCCCGTGCGCACACAAACACATTGTATTTCTTTCAAGCACGCACTCCCTTGCCGAGGTGTACGAAACAAACAGCGCACTGTGGAGAGTCTGGATACTCAAGAATGGCACGGTGAGGGCAGGGTTCCTCAATGGGCCAGAATGACTAGTTCATAAACAGGTCAAATCTACTCGTTTCCCGAAGAGGATATGTGAGAATTAGTAAGTCCCCTGGTGTCGGAAATGCTTAACTCTTCAACCCACGTCGCCAAATGGACCATAGACCAGAACTTTTGAGCAAACCTCATATCTTGATCATCGTTTGGGGTACACAGAAGGTAATATGTTCAGCTTCTGTTTCATATCTAGTCTACCCCGAAATACTAAAAATAAGTTTTGGAGCCCGCAGCTCATGCAAAAATCGAGCCAACCTCCCAAACTCTTTCCAGCCAATGCCTTTCGAGCTCATAGACCAGGCAAAACCCAAAGGTCAAAAGGTCGAGTCCCTCCCGAACCCAAATGCCAAAAATCCACACGCGCCTCTGCACCTTGACAGCTACCCGCCCGAAGTCAGGCAGGTTCAGGCAGTACACCTGCGGATATGGCTGTGGGTCAAAAATAGTTACCCAAAATGGAACCCTGGTACATGGAAACATGGACCTTCAAAACCTGCGTCCCATGGTGATTTCATATTGACCCACACCCATGTAGGGCCTGTCGCAAAGTTGGGGGCCTCTTTTGGATGGTCTGCTCCACGCAACAAAAAAGTCGGCATCCTGTGGTACTCCCTCTAAAAGTCAGCACCCTCAGCGAAAAGCAAGGGAGCAAAAGTAGAGGTTGCTTCAAAGGAAACAGAAGGAACCCCACCATTTTGTTGGGGTGCCCCTATTTTGCCACGTGGCAATCATGGCCACTGCCCTTGAACTTCCTCGACCGCCAAAACACGGAACCCAAGAAGGAACTAAAATTATCTAAAAATGGTGTTTGGATAACATGTGACACGCCTGTTTTCGACACCCAGTGCTTCCAGTGACCTATAGTAGGTAACCAGGGTTTCTTTACCTCTAGATTTTCCATGCTTCCTGGTTGCCCACTATCGTCGTACCCGGAAGCACTGGATCAGGGTAGCCGAGATGCAATTTCTGAGGTCAACTGGGGATTGGAGCCTCAACTTGGCTGGCACGACACAAAAAGATTGAGATATTGTGCTTCATGTGTAGTCTACTCGGAAAACAAAAACATATAAAGCCGTTTTGGGATCGGAGACTCCGGGAATCGGGAATAGCCATGGATTCTTATACGGCAAATTACCAATTCCATGTTGATCAACACTCACTTCCTGAGTGGATTGGCCAGAAAAAGTCCAAACTGTTCCTTGCCACCCACAACCCCAAAAGTGACTAAAGTCCGAACCGAACTCAGGGAGTGAGCCCAGGGATACGAATCTATGATTCTTTTCTCGGGTTAAGAGGGAAGTTCCCAATCGAGGCCCAACTCAGGGGGCCCAAATGATATTTGCAGATGCTTCAGAATGGAGGGGTGGCTCATTTTGTTGGAGTTGGTATCCCGTTTTGGTTGGGTTTAAAGGGAAACCAACAAGAAACCCCACCGTGTGTGTGTTCTTCCATAGATCCGTTACAAAACACAAACAAAACGACCTGCCCAAATGTAGTCTACCCGATCTGAAATAATTCTGGAGACCAGAGACAGGGTGGAACTGCAGGGCTCTCAAGGGAAGCCAACAAAATGAAAGCAATGGTCTGGACTCAAAACACATCTTGTTTCTGCAGTTGGAAACGGACATTGCGCTCACAGCCGGGGAAAAGGATCAAAAGGGCAGTTTTCAAAACAAGCGGCCCAACAAGTGGTCAATTGCCTTTCATTCTGCTGCCCTTTCAAAACCAACCAGAAAGGCTCAATAAATTTGAAGAAATCCCATATGGGCCTTGCAACAACTCACCAAATTGGCCAAGAGGAGAGTGGAGCGCTGAAAAAAATCCCACCGTGAAAGGAAGGTGACAAGGGGTTCAGGCCCCCCTGCTCCAAGCAATTTCTTGTCCAGGTTGCCTGGTGTTCACGGAATCCCCGATAAGTCACAAGCACATAGTATCTGAGCACTAACATGGTCTTGCCAAGAAACTGTATGATAGTGGGAGTAAGAGGAGTAAGAAACTCTGGGAGTAAGAGTCCAGCACTTTAGGAGTAAGATACTTTCTGTGTTAGTGATGAGAAGTCCATTGACTTTTGCAACGACCCGGCCGCACATGCTGAATCTAGTGACCCCAGGCTGATCCATCCAACTGGTGGCCCAGGGAATCCTCTGGTTCATTCCCCCCAGCGATTCCCTATCGAAGCGAGGGGGCTGTGAGAAACCCCGAGGAGACGACCCCGGAATTGGGCGAAATCTGGTGGACTGGCCGAGCAAGTGTTTTTGCAAGGTATCCCGGCTGCCCAAAACTGGGCTTAATCCAGGTCAGCCTAAGCAAAAGGTCTAATCCTTGGAAGATTCATGGAAAACCAAAACCAGGTCATCTGTTGTGGTCCCTAACCCTTATTTGGTGGTGGGGATTGGTTTGGGGAGTTGAACCCATTCTTGTCGAGGGCAAACGGGAAACCACCCACAACTCAAACACAAAGGAAATCGAACAGTGTAGCTTTAAGATGTGGGAAGTTCAATTAAACTGTTGGTTTTTGTAGCTGAAATATATAACTTTGCCGGTTTAATACATGTCCATTGTAGGTCGCTTGTCATCTATAGGTTCAATGGAAAAGCGTTCAATTTCACCAAAAGGTCGTTCAAGCTCGCCTGGCCCAGGGAGGCGGCAGCGCGGGGCTCCGGCAGACCCGCCAAGCCCTGGCGCCAACTGAGGCAAAGAGCTCCGTCCAAAAGGAGCTTTTCGCAGGTCACTCCAACCCTCCAAAAAAACCAACCCCCATGTGTGTCTTTGGGGAGTTTGGGGCTCCACTTCACAAGGCTGTGGCAGGTGGTGCATCAAGAAAACCCGTATGTTGGACCCAAGAGGTAAACATTGACCAAATGAACTGAGTGGAGACGACGCAAGCATGGCAGCATGGTGCAAGCAAGAACCCAGCCAAATCCGGCAATTCACCAAAACAATCTTCCCAAAAAACTTGAGGCCAAATCCAGGAGCCCCAGAAAGAGCCCTGGCTCACATGACTACCAGCCAGCTGAAGCGACTTGGCCCTTGTAGTGAAAACCAGGCCTCCCGTTCAAGGCCTGGTGCAACAAAGATGACTTTGAACTACTTTTAGCTTATCTCACTTCCCGAGTATATTGGCCAAGTTTCTATTCAGTGTATGCCTACCACTTGTTTCTGGCCTTCCCAAGTATCAAGTCCACGACAGATTGAACACCTCAAACGGACCATCCGAACTCGGGGCCGACAGGGCCTTCGTTAGACCGCGGGTGATTGGCATCCGTTCCTTCGGCGCTTTTTCCCGGCCTTCCGCACAGGCAAGCTCCGCCAAGCCTGGCGCAGTTCGGTGTCGTTTTGGTTTGTCTCACAGGAATCGGAACCCCAAAGCTGCTGGTGTCCCTTAAAGGAACACCCGGAGTCGCCATGACCCTGTAAAAATAGGTCCATGACCCCTTTCTTTTGGGCAATGGCCCTATTTTTTAAGGGTCATGGAGACTCCAGGAACACGAAAAGGGCTCTCAAGAAACTAAGAAGGCAGCGCCTCTGCCTTAGAGACTTGCAGCTGATCCAAGACTGGGTTGCTCCCCCCCCCCGGAGCAAAAGGTCGAATACCTTTTCTCATTTGTGGATTGATCAGAAAAGTCCGAACTGTTGTCTTTCTAAGAAGGTTGAAATCCAGGAAGTCAGGAAGTGAGCTTTGTAGGTTACATGGAATAGACAATTGTTTCCAAACGGTCGTGACTCCTGCGGGGCGATTTGGTGAGTCGAGACCGAATCGCCATGGGGTGCCCCTAAGCAGCCCTTAGGCTTGCCTATCACTCGCCCCACCTTTGCAAGAGTTTCCATTTCAGAACGAGTTTTGGATGAGATCAGGCTGCAAGGCAATGCGAAGCAGGGTGATGACAGCTGCAGGTTGGGGGAACAACCCTACATAAATTTGGACAAAAGAGACAATCTGCCAAGTAAGCCTAGGGAGGTCATACAAAGTCCTACCGCAACTGCTCGGTTATGGTGAAGCGTGTGTAAGTCCCGCAAGGTCCCTCCCAGATCGACCTCTGCCCAAAGGAGCTGGGAAACAAAGGCTGAGCTTTTGGGACCTTGACTAAAAATGGATCACGATTCGCAGCGGACAACTGCGATTCTGTTTTTGAAGGGGGGATTTCATGCATGGTTGGGCCCACCCCTTGTCATTTTGAATCCACCCCCCCAAATGCCAGTCAAAATGTGCAAACCCCAATAGGGTTGGCACATTTTGATGGTTCTCTGCTGTCACGGACCCTGAAAGAAGGGCATTTTGGGTTGGTTGCTTGCGGGGTGTTCGCACCAAAACAAGTTACAGGACGCCAAAGGACCGGGGTGGGATGGACATTATGAGCGACCTGGCCTCATCCAGAATGACCTCGGCCGCCTGCGCGAACCGCAAACAGCGTGGGCCGTACATCTTTTCAAGTTGCTTTAAGGGAAACCCAAAGGAAATCCAGCTTTCTTTTTGGGAGGGGGTCCGCTTTTTCTGGTACATTCCCATCTTGGAAGCTGCTGGTACATTGCATTCTGCTCCAATAAAGAAAGAATCACGCAGAGCCGTGAAACAGGGAGTTGAAAAGAAATATGGTGTCATTTGACTGCACATTTGGGCTTAAAAGAAAAGCCCGAGCTGCGCTAAATTTTTAAATGGCTGGTCTCGGAATAGAGCCCCAATTTAATAGATACGTTCACTGCTTCCTGTCAGATCACATTCCTTTTTGGACCCCTTGAACTAAAAGCCCAAGCTTCCTCCCAGCCGTTCGTATAACTTTCCCATTGCCTACTACAGTGGCCAGGCTGAAGCCCCAACGGGGAGGATCGGAGTCGATCAATTCGCGCAACTGGATGCAAGTTACCTGCTGATCATGCCCATGACTTAGACACAAGGGCTCACAACCTGACAACCCAGCCAGGGGCCTTTACACCACTGTCTCAAAAGAAACATCCAGGACGCCTGTAGTAGGGATAGCAAACAACCGGTCTCAAAAACATGCTCAAATTAGAGAAAGAGAGAGAGAGAGAGAGGGAGAGAAAGAGAGAGAGAGTAAGTCCCTCCCCTACTGGGCATGCTGACAAAACCTCATGTCGTGAGCAGCACCGAATAACCATTGAATTAATTCATCATTTCAAAATGCTTTCCCTACTATTGCCTTGATGAAACCACCTAGTAGAACCTGCCAAAGTGGCAAACAGGAATTGGCTTTCCGGACCCAACTCTTGGGATCACCCAAAGACAATATGCTCTGATCCTGTTTCATGTTCCGTCAAACTCAACATGTGGCTTGGGTGCTTTTTGGATGGAACCCTCTTTTGGTTGGCTTGAAAGGAAAACCAAAAGGACAACCGTCGTCGCGCTTTTGTGTCTTTTTGTTTTGTTTTTTTTGGGGGGAGGGGCCAAACTCAAAAAGACACGCTCAAATAGTTTCCGAGGAGACGCAGTTTTGGGCGCTGTCAGGGTATGAACTTTCATTAGGAACCCGAAATGGCGGACATCATTTAGGCAGGGAGTTGTGTCCGCCAACTACTGATCAGGTGGTGGCTGGTCCATGAACACCTCCCGGGCCGGCTCGCTTGCAAACATTGCCGCTGGGGAAATCGACCAGCGTATCCTGGGGCAGTCCAGTCTGTCACGAGCAACCACGACAACTCCTGCGCATGTGCGATCCGCCCCGACCCAAAAAACCCGTCAGCGCGGAGGGGCGCACATTGCGCCTCGTTGGGGAAGGCCGCCACGTTGTCGGTGAGCTTCAGCAGCTCGGAGATGTAGGCCGGCCTCCAGTGAATTGGGTGTCATGGGGGCTGGGGGGGAGGGAGTTATATGTTTGGCTCCCTCCCCATCGTGTGTGTCCTTTTGTTGAGGCATTCCCCCCGATGTCCTTTTCTTGAATCTTTTATAGCAAGGCTTGAGGGGTATGTTCTCGGGGTCTGGTGGCACAGCCTACGCCAACACGCTGCCATGGCTCCGAATGCGGCTGGGAGAAGGTCAGCCAGGAACCCTAGATATGGGCACTGATTCTTTCGGGAAGGGAAGCGACCCACTGGGCGACGTGAGGGAAGGCCTTGGGCAAGGGGTTGGGGGTGCACGGTGCGTAGGGACAAGAACATCCACCCCCTTTGAAACTCAGTTGTTTTACACTTTCAACAGCAAACCTTTGGCTTGCCACTAAAATGGTACCCAAAGTTCAACAACGTCCAGGACCTCAAGGACTCAGTAGGTACCCAGGATATTCCATGTAGTAAGAGGAAGTAAAACCAAAGGTTTCCTGAAAGAGTGGGTAAGTGATTGCTTGTCGTGCACGGCCACAGCAAATGATACCATCAGTTTCAGTGTGAAGCTGTCACTTGTGGCCTTCTGCCATCATTGTCAAAACAACCTGCGGATCTTGTGACCAACACACGCCACTTCAAGCACCTCAATCATGATCAGCTGCCTCTCTTTGGCGCACACTCTTTTTTGCCCCCGGCAAGTCAGCAATTCCGCGCGGGGGCACCGTGAGGCCGTGATTCGGCCCTGAGCTCTTGCGGGTTCCCAGGGAATGGGGGCACCGACCCCGTCCATCCCTGGGCTGAAAACCAGCCAGCCTATCTGGCTCGCTGGCCGGGGCCCAGGGCCCAACGCGAAGGCTCGAGTTCTTTGGCCTTGCGACACAGTGTTGCTCCGAAGACTGGGCAAAAATTTGGAAGAGACATGAAACCCAAAGAGTCGAAGGTACCCTGGCGAAGGAAAATTGAATGACACCAAACCAATTGTGTGGCTTGACCATGTTTTAGACCGGGCTCCCCCTCCAAAATCCCCCTTTGCTGGCAAAAATAAAGAGATTACCTTTTGAGCTAATTGAAAGTGTTCCTTGCAGTGGGCTGATGTGCTTAGGTTGGAAATATAGGGAGCCCTGATAGGAACGGATCTTTCGCCACACTACATGACATTTGAGTCCAAGAGGATGGATTGAGGTATGTCCGGCTCACCAAAATGCAGCAGGCACAACGACGTGTACTTCTCTTGGCACTGAAGTCTCTCCGCCGGTGTGGGGAACTTGGCGGACAGCATGCGGCGCCTTTGATCGGCATCCGGGCAAATGTCGAAAGAAGTGTGCCATGGAGAAAACTCCTGGTATGGTTGGCTCCCTCAACCTGAACCCTCACATGCTGGTTGTCTATAATCGTTACTAACGGGTCCGTCACCATTCCTGCATAAAGTAAAAGAGTGATTCGACTGTGGCACAGTTGAGTCAAATCAAAACTTGGTACCAAAAGGAGGTGTACCAAAGCAACGTAAAGAGTGCAAGGGGCGGATGTCTGCACCCACTTACGGTTCGGCGACGGTGGTCCTTTTGTTCATGGGTGTATGGTCACCCCATACGGCTTCAATACTTGTTCTGAACGTGGATAGACAAAACATCCTTCACCATGATCGGGTAAACCGGAGCGCGAGGGAACCCTGTGGTTTCTTGTTCCTGAAACTGACTCAAGCCCACGCAAGTGTTTGGGAAGCTTGGGTAAACTCCAGCCCCCCCCCCCACTCCACCAACCGCTCAGGGACACCGTGGTGATAGGTTGTCATTTGACTTCCGTTACAATGGGCTCAAGCACCTTCCGCGAAATGCAACTCATGACATTTCCCCGGTGAACGTGGCAAAGCTGGAGATTCCACTTACCGGTAAAAGTATGTAACGAAGGGAGGCAAACTTCAAAGAACTACAAGAGAAAATGTCGGGTTACCTGCTCATGCCTATAGTCTCACTTCCCGAGTGGATTGGCCAAAAAAGGCAAACCACTGTTTGTTTACCACTAAAATGGTTTTCCCAACAAATTCGAAGTCCAGGAACTCAGGAAGTGAGGGATAGGGGGTTGCTTAAACAAACAATGCCCCACCCTGGTTTGTTCCTATGGGGACCCCGATTCTTTGGCTGTGGTTTTCGCGGCCCAACAGCAAACATGCCCTTCTGACACTGGGGGAAGAAGGGAACACTTCTTTCCAAGAGATTTCTCTCCAACAACAATTACAATGACAAATTTGAGACGGGCCCCGGGTCGCCATTTTGAGACGGGTCCCGGGCCATTGGTTTCTGGGTCGAGATCGAATTCAGGACGGGCTCCTAAGAAAACAAACATAAGCCCAGGTAGTATCCCCACCAGCTCTGGAACCCCCTCCGGAACCTTCCTAGCCGCTCCGGAAGATACCCCTAAGCTTTCAGCTGGTCTTGGTTGCTGTTGACCCCTCTGCAAAAAGTTTAACTTGTTGTGGGTTTAGTGGAACCGCCCCTGATTTCCCAAAAAGATAAAGTCTAAAGATCCAACCCAATGCACTACAGTGGAGAAATACATCCCGAACCATTTCGCCCTTAGTTGGAACTCCTCGCTCGAGGCGCAAGCTCAGCAGGTAGTGGAGATCCCGCTGCTTGGTAGAGCCGTGATTCGCCTCCAGGCCAGACATGTACTGCGTCTTGTACTTCCAGAAGCCTGGCCAATCGTACAGCATCCCCCAAGCACCCCTCCGCGCCTGGAAAGAAAAGAAGGTAGGTACCAACACACACACACACACACACGAAACATTTTTTTTTAAAGCAGGTAATCTTGTACTTCCAAGCCGGTCGAAACTGAGGGTTCACTAGGGGCCAGTCTCAGAAGACTGCTCCCGTTTCGGCCGATCTCCGTCTCCAAGAACTGAGCAGGTCCGTGTTGGAAGCTGCTGACTGGAAGGTTGGGACGGCTTGCAGGCCCCTCAAAAAAGGTCAGAACGCTGTCAAGGAGGCCTAATGTTTGCTCCGTCAGGACACTTTATGGTTTTTGTCGCTCCCCAGTTAATCATGGGGTCCCCCATTTTGAGCAGGAGGGTGAATGAAGCCAGTTCTAAAGCAAGTCCAACCCAAGAGCACAGTGCAAAACAAGTGCATCGTTGATCCTAGATAAATCCGTTGCTTAAAAATGCATGCTGGAAGGTGTGTTCCGTTTCGCGAGCCTCCCTGGAGTTCAAAGGCATCCAGTTCTTGGCTCCCAAAACCGAGGGCGCCTAACAATAAATTATATCTTTTCCCAAGTTGAATGTTTTAAGTAGACGCGGAGTGTGTTTTAACAATAGGGACTGACTTCTCCCATTTTAGGTTTTCGGGGTCAGACAGTGGTTTGCTTCCGGTGTCCCTTTGGCACCAACCCCGAAAAGGTGAGGTACCCTCAGAAAAAAAAAAAAAAAACACACACACACACACCCCAGCTGGTTTGCTGGTTTGCCGCCTAGCTAGCAAGTGAACTAGCCGGTCAGATACTTAGTCAGTGCGTGAGCTAGGTAACTAGTTGGATTGGTTGACTCTGAACTGCATGTGTTTGTAGCTCTCAAACAGGCGACAGGGAAAACACACAAACTTGCACATCATAGAGTAGAGTCGTGCTTTGTGTGGCATGTGTCCATGTCAGTGCCAAGTCAAACGTGAAATGCCCTAGCTCACCCTGGGGGGCCCTCGGCCTGGCTTAGCCGGTTGACCAGCAAAACATGTGCAATCAGATTCGTTGGGAGCGCCTCTTCCAGCGCTCGCCTTCCCAACGGGAAAAACGGCACTGGCGCTTGGGTTGGATAAGCCTCCCAAAATCAAGTCTCACTTCGCATCCGGCGCCTTCCCAGCAAGCGTCCTGGTTCTTTCCAGGCATCTTTGCAGCATAGAAGTAGCAGTTGGCGACCTTGACCGCGATGGCAGCACTGGCTTTGTCTCAAAAACAAAATGGGGGTCCATTGGTTTCGCCTGAACGCATCCTCAAAAAGGGTACCCTCAAAGAAACTTAAACACCTAACTTTGTCCATCCTGGTCAATGCTCAACCTGAAGCAAAGGGTTCTAATCTTTCCACATCATATACTGCATCCTTTTACTCAAGGGTGCCCGTGACTAGCCTTCGGCAGGCCAAAGCCTTCGGCAGGCCAAGCTTCGAAGTGCGTCTTGACCCAACAAACAGGGACTCTGCATGGTCTTTACAAAAAGAAAAACAAGAGGAGACCAACCATTTGTTTGGGTCCTCTACTTTTTCGACTCCCGCACGTGAGGACAGAACTGCAACTGCATGAACGTTCATCTTGAGAAATTGACCAGGTAGGCCATTTTGACCAAACCTCAAATGACTTTACATTTTAGTTCGGGACATGGCGGACATCACCTAGGGAACATATGTCCGCTAGCCATCCGGGAGGGTATTTCTCACTAAAACTCGCCTGGCCTACCCAAACTCAAATACCCACCAACCTGCAAATCCGATAGGAAATGGTACACCCAAAACTGATACCACCGTGTAGAATAGTACGAGGGATACCAGCTTCTTGGTATCCGTCGTGGTTGGATCCCCTGGCTAAAGGCCGAACTTTTGGGGTGTGTCGGGTATGTCACAAATCCCTCTGATCTCCGCTGAGTTCTGTAATACCAACGTGGAAACGACCCCAAGACTACTTTCTCACTTTGAATTTGACTCCCTTGGCTTCACAAAAGGTGACTTTGCAGCCGTAGTTTCCAGGCATGCCGCACGTGCGAATCATAGAAGTGAGGTCTTCTAGCTTTCCCACATCCGTGAAGACACTCCGACGCGGTCCAAGTTGCATTGTTGGCCAGCTGCAGAATCCTGAGCAGGGCCCAAGTTACAGGATTTCCATCTAGACTTCATCTTCAAATCTACCCCGCCGTCAAAGGAAAATCACGTGAAAGGTGGCTCGCCAAACCGCGGTAAGTGGCACAAATGAGTGTCTTTTCTTGAGGGACCCCCGTTTTGGATGGTTTGAAAGGGAAACCAAAAGGACAACCACCATCTTGGGGGTGCCGAACAAAACATACGCGATTTGTGAAACCAGAGGGGGAAATCTGTAGAGCCATGCGTTACTCCAAGAAGTTGTTGGCTCGCGGCCCGGGAGAGGCAGCAAACGACGTACTCCTAAAAATAACATGGAACCCCACAAAATATGGTGGAAGTGACGGAGCTTGTTGTCTCATTTTCTACGGGGCCTAACAACATTGTGGGTGTCCTTTTGGCTTCCCTCAAAACCACCGGAAAGGGGGCGGAAGCAGGACTGAGCCTGTCATTTGGGGGGACAAATCAAAGTACCTCTGAGGATCACGTGGGCAGGTGTATAAATGTGTTTATATTGGTCAGGAATCACTGATGCGTGGCGGTGCGTGTATTGCTGGATCCGAGCATTTCTGGAACAGGGTGCAGTACATGGAAGGAGCCTCCAACATTTCCAAATAACAATTAAGTCCACAAACTCGACCCATAGCTTGCTTGTGCAGATGCCCAGCACTCCCCCGTCCACAATTTTAGTCTCACTTCCTATGTTGATGAGCCACACGTTGCAAAGTACACCAGTTCATCCTGATGAGATCCAAAACTCACACAAACCGGGCGTCTGCGGGTGGCGTGGTGGTATCGACTTGGAAGCGGTTGCAGTATGCATCCTGGCGGCGCGTCAAGCTTGTGTCTTTGTCTGCAACCCGAGAACCCACCCCCCTCCTTGGTCGTTGAGGGGAAATCAAGAAGAAACCAGCTGTTCTTGACACAAGTCCATTCATGCCATGGATGTGAAATGTGCTCATAAAAGCGTTCTCTGTTCTAAAGGTTGGTCTCACTCGCTTTGAGCATCAGAAGTTCGAGCAAAACACGCAAGTTCCCTTGGTCTAAACCAAAATTGTGCCATCTGCTTTTACCCAACTGTAAAGAAAACGTATCTCGTTTTTCAGGATACCCTAATTGGGGGCTGGTTTGAAGGAAACCAACGGGAGCCATTCAATTTACGGGGTTCCCCTTTTTGGAGACGCACCCAAAGGATTCCTGGACAGAACATGGGTAAGTACGGATCTGTCGATCAACTCTGGCAAACATCGCGTTGTCTTGTCCTGTGCTCATCCCGGAAACCTCCCCGTCCAATAACTAATCATCTGGAGGCCTTTAATTGAGCATCAATACCACAAGAATCTAATCGGCCCTAAACCGGGAACTAGGGTTTGCTTCAAATCTAAGGGCCTCCCATCAAACGTAGTACCCTCCAGCAAGAACACCCTAGGCATGCAAAGAAGACCCGATCGGCCTGGCAAAATTGGCGGAAACTGAACACGGACGGAAGTATCTCAAGGCTCTTATTTCCCCGTGAAACATGCACCACGAGGAAATTCACTCTACATTGACCCAAAAGGTGATGTTTCACCCTGCACACTGTGGAAAGTCCCAAGTAATGTGGCCCTCGAAGTTGATGTGTAAAGCCACCCAAGCAAAAAACATGGGCGTGTTATTTGTTTGGAGTTGCCTGGTGCACTTTTTTGGATGCGGCCCGGTTCCAATTCGCTCACATGCCCAAACCGGACCTGGACATGAAAGGTGAACCTGCTGGGACCTTTACTAACAATGGACCAAAATGAGAAAACCAAAAGGTCAAAAGGTCTGAACCATATAGGCAAGTGAGATGGGAAAGTGGGTCAAATGCGAAAACCAAAAAAGGTCAAATGGGCAAGTGAGTTTCTCTATAGCCCAAACCCATGGGGAGCATCCAACCCATCGGCTTTCGAGCTGTGTCCTCGTCTCTAGGGCCATCGCCTTCTGTATCTCATTGCCTCGGGCAGCGCCGTCCTGAAACTTCGCCGGATGGCCACTCTCCCGTGGAACATCCCAAACTGTTCATGCTTAGAGTTGCTACGAAAATGTGCGTGTTCAATTATCTTCAGCCCTTTCCCCTGAAAAAAAACACAGAAAACCGGTTCCTATCTTGATAAGCACCCAAATGGTCTCCCCGAGTACAAAGTCCAGGAACTCGGGTGGGGTGAGAAACGACTTTCGTTGGAAGGTCAGTAGCAAGCCAGGATTAACCAGATACAATAGAAACATGCTTCATGATGGTTTTCAAGAGAATCATTACATTTTACATGATGGTTTCCCTGGTTGTCACTACGGGACCGGCAATCGGGATGAGGGCTCGGACGTCCTTGGCCATGAACTCGTTCGCCTTGCACGCCTGAAGGCGGCGAGTCACGCGCGCTCATTTGGCCCGGATCGCATGTCTGAGCTGGGTCAGCTGCAAATGGATCTGGTTGGTTGGCTGGTGGGTGGTGGGGTGGTTGGTTGCTTGGTTGCTCGGTTGCTCGTTTGCTTGCTTGCTTGCTTGCTTGGTGGCTTGCCTGCTTGCCTGCTTGCCTGCTTGCAACGGATGCAAATGCATTCTCCTGGGGCAACGGCACAACTGGCGTTAAACATGCACCTGCTGTCCGCTTCTGAGGGCGACCTGCCTCGCTTTGCAGGTCAACGTCAAAGTACTCCAGCCCGCTGCTCATCGACTGATACGTGCACAGACACAAACATACATACACATATATATATATATATGGATACATATAGATACATATTTGTATCCATGCACCATGACAGTAAATGCGCATAGAATGTATACATATTATATATATATACATATATTATATATACTGTACATGTATGCATTGACATAGGTTTGTCTCTCAATTGGACAACATGCTTGTCTCCTCTTGGTCAGCCCAAAGCAGGTTCCCAACAATACATACCTATATGCAGATAAGTACATATGCATAGAATTAGATATCATATGTGCATGTAAAACAAAGTAAGGTGTTCCCAAGTAAAGGGACTGCAAACGGTAATCTCGTTTTACCCCGGTCGGTGAACCTGCCATACAATGGGCAGAACTTGTCTAATCCCCGGGGCTGCTGACGAATATACAGTATTTGTAATAGTGATCGTAAAAGGAATAGTACTAGCTTGTGATAGCAATAGCGATAGCGGTGGTAATAGTAATGAGTAGCATTTAAACTATTGTAACTAGCGACAGTATTAAACATATACATATGTTAATATAAGTTTTATACATATATGCTAGTGTATATATCTATATAACATATATACTACCATATATATATACCATATATATATATATACCATATATATATATATATACGCAACTCGCAGTCTCTCCGTGCTCTTTCGAATGCAACGCTTCCCCCCGTCCGAGCGCGGCTTGCCTCAGCCAAATGCCGCTGGCATTCCGCGGGCTCGAACCTGAAGCCGCAGGCCTCGGATGGCTTCACCGTGATCACAGATGACGATGGTCCAAAGGGAAAGGACCAGTTCTCAAGAATGAACATTTGTTGAAACCAAAGGTCAATCTGGTCAATCTGCAAGTGATGATTTTGGCTGTGCCATAAAACCCGTGTGGCTTCTCAAAATGGGATTTGGACCCCCTTTTGTTGGATGGTTTTGATGGGAAGCCGGAAGGAAACAATGCGTTTTGGTGTTCCCCGATCTTGAAAACCACCCAAAGAAAGACCCTCCGCAGCTGGTAAATAATCGCAGGGGATATTTTTCCCAGCGGATTGGAGCCTTTAGCCCTCGACCAGGGCTGCTGCAACCTGAAGGCAGATCCAAAAGCCTCAGGGGTTTGTCCGCCCAAAAGACCCCCAAAGCAACATAAAACTGATTCAAATCAGGGAAGCCAAAAGGTCAACGATTCGCTTTGGGCAAGTGAGGTTTGGAGAAATCTTGGATGAGCTTCCCACTTGGTGCTTATCGCTTACCCGTAGTAAGCCTCTGGCATTGCTTTTTCGGGAAATCTTAATTTGGGACTTCTTAGCAAGGGGAGGTTGTCCAAATTAGAGGCCATTATTGGCCCTCCCTCATGAAACGCCAACGCAAGGTGGCACCAGTGTCCAACAAGAAAAAAACAAAATTCTGAAAATCCAAATGAGCAGCCCCCAAAACCCATAGACCTCGTAACAGTGCAAAGGTTTCAAAGGGCAAGGTAGAACCCCTGCGGGTAGAACCAACGGCTGGGAATCGGGTGGTGGGCGCTCTTTCATGTCGTTCGGGCCAAGAACCCTGCTGTCATCAAACATATAGGCAAGAACATGATCCAAAACCTCCGGGTCTTGATGGCTAAAAAAGGCTTTGCTTGCCCAAGGTTCGCCACATATGGATCAGAATAGAGATCTCCTTTCCCTTGATAAAGGGTACACTGAAACAAAAAACGGCACTCCATATGGCAGTGGCTACAACCGCTCTTTCATTTGAGCCACACTCATACTATCGCTGGTTCTCAGTGCATCACCTGTGGGGTATTGTGGGGTTTTGGGAGGCCGATGGAAAGAACACCACCAAAACAACAACAGAAAACATTCCCTATCGAAGCAGATCGAATGGGGCTTGGCCTTGAACCCGCAAACATTGAAGTTGATGTCCCCTTTCCTGCACAGGGGCCCTGCAAACCGAAAACACAAACCATGGCACATTGAGACCACGGTATTGTACAAACACCCCAACGAAAAGTGGTACAATTCGTAACCCTTCGGAGGTGGTTTGGATTGGTTGGTGTTTGGATTGGTGGTTTGGATTTGGCTGGTTCTTGTAGAGGGAAAATGGGAAACCGCGCCCAACCACGAAACCACCAACTCAAGTCACCAATGACAGGGACACTGATTTCCTGCAAAGGGGGAACCCCGAAAAACTGTCCACATCTCAACAAGGGTACCCTTCAAACACTGCACCAGTTAAATTATGGAGCTTCGAATTTTCCAATTTGAACCCCGCATTAATAAATCCCTGGTTGACGCATAGGCGAATGTTCTTTGCAGTGGGAATCCTGCACCTTCGCGGGTGACACCCCTATGAGTAGGATAGAATTATGCATCCGGGTTTCCCACTATCTCCTTGTGGTTAGCTTGAGAAATGTTGGTTCATTCTCGCACCTTGCGAAATCACCAAGATTCCAGTTTAAGATTAGAGATGGATTTGTGGCAAGTTTGCCGATGGCATTTGCGTGTGTCTATTCATTGGCTTATTTGGAAAAAATCCCTCGCTTTCTGACTTCATTGCCCAACCAAAAGTCCAAACTGTTTGGCTACCACTAAGATGGTCTTCCCAAAAAAGTTTCAAGTCCAGGAACTCAGGGAGTGAGCAGTACAAGATTTGCCGATGTTCAACGACACACCTGTTTGAGGCCCGGATCCCGAACAGCAGTCTGGGTGCCCCAAAGACTCAATTCATTTGACTGGAACTCAGCTTGAGAGACCCGACCCTACTGACTTGTGGTACTAAGATGGTTACGAAGGTGCATAAAGAGGTTTCAACCAATAGCCCCCCTTCCCCTACCAACAAATGGGATTTTTCCTGTGGCTTCCTTTTAGCCACCGGCCAAAAAAAGAGCTCACCATTTTGAGAAACCTCCAGTGGCGCTTACAACAATACCCATGGAACCAGGCAGAACCACCTACCAAATGGGGCTCTCGGTGATGTTTGTTGTGCGATGCTCAAGTGTAGTTTGGCTTAGTCGCCCAGCTGGCATAGCAAGCATCGTCAAACACTTTGAAGGAAAGCGCGCTGGCCCCACCAGCATCAAAGTCACCCCTCAAGTGGTAGGTTAAAGGGACACCACCCCAGTGTCTGACTTTGATAACTTCCAGAAATGGTGAACACATGAGCATCGCCTGCCGGAAACGACACAAAACATGCAAAATTGTGTGGCGCTTACTTGTCCGGATAGGGTCTTTGAAGTTTGCCTTGGGGTTGCCTTGATCTGAAACCAAAGTTCACCTCCATGATTTTGGGTGGGCGCATACCCCTTTAGTCAACCATAACAAATCAAAGGCTATAGGAGGCCCCGCTTGAGACACCCCATGGGTCACTTTAGTATGCGGTTCTTCTGCCTGGTCTTCATCTGGTTACAGTAAAACCTACATAAACCTTTAAAACAAAAAAAAGGAAACAAAAAGCCAAGATGTGATGATATTGCTTGGCTCCTACACAAACCTTTATAACCATCTAAGAACCAAAAGCCAAGGGGTTTCGATTCGGCGCTTGCGGCCAAACCACGCATCGCCGTTGCTCGGAGAGGAACGTCGCCTTTCCGCAGGCGCAGGGGACCCGGAGCTGCGGGTCCTCAGTCCTGGACTGGCGGTCGGGAATCGGGTCACCCCGCAAAGATCCTCACAGAAAAAGACGCTTTGGGGACCTAGAACCCAAAAAATGGTATCATCTTGTGGGACCAAGAAACTAAACGTGGGAACGGAAAAAGGGGGAAACCGATAGGATATTTCAGGTCGATTCCCCTTTGAACTGAGGATCTTGCCGCCCGTATTGATACCTAAGGAGGAAGGACTCCTCTTGGGAAGTCTTGGTGAGCTCCTTTTAACCCCAGAGCTCATAAATAATTAAGCAAATGTTTCCGACCCTATGGTTCCCTGCATGTGCTCATGTGCTGAGCTTCGCTCATGGGTCACATGCTCTTGTTGAACATGCACAACCTCACGTTTCTTTGCAATGTCCAACAAAATTGCCCAAACGACACAAATCATATCTTCACCCAACGCTCACCCAACTTCCACCCAAATCCACAACGTTTTTCAACGGCAATCCCCCCAACCCTACAACCCCCACCTAACCCCTGTATGGCAACTTACAGCCTGTTGCCACCTTCTTTAGGGCAACCAAGCCAGATTGGTAGCTGGTGCCGCCATCAAGAATCAGGGGCCACTTCAAAGGCACCTAAAAAGGGACTTGGCGTTTGATTTCTTGGCTTCCTTCCGCTTGATCGACTTCCACTTGGCCCTTAAGAATCCAACAAGAACCACTTGTTCGGGCTCCCGAGACCCCACCAAATAGGGCACTCCCCATGGATTTCGGCTTATTTTTGGGCTCCCTTGCAAAGAGTCTGAAATGGGTAGCCTCTAGAGAAAAACACATTCTTTGGGTCTTCTATTTTGCTCACTTCCTGAGTTGCCTAACAAAGTCCATTTTGTCTGTTTGCCCAAAAGGTTTAAAGTCCGAAACACATACCCAGGGAGTGAGTTTAAGGCAACCCCAAAAGACCACCTCCCCCAAACTCCTTCCCTGCCACCTCGAAACCTCCGACCAGTCCCCAGGCGCCTCTCTTCTGCGCAGCGGGCGCAGGCGCACGCGAAGCCTTGGCCCAGCTGCGCCTTCCGCGCCTCGAAGCAGAGGCTCACAGGCACCCAGGACACCGAGACCTGCCGAAACGAGACGAGCGAGGGGTCGCGCGCGAGGTGTTGGAGCCAATTGGGGTCAACCATAGGGGTAAGAGGGTCTAAGTCATCTGGACATGAGGCAAGCTGTTTTGGAGCCACAACCATAGGGCAGCCAAATGATTTGGCAATGAGGTTGGTGGATACTTTAAAACCAAGCTTAGGCATTGGAGAACACTATTAGCAATCTCTGGCAGGTGGTTCTACCTGGCTTCGTTCGTGATTGCGGTAAGGCCCATAGAGTATGCGTCAAACGCATATGGCTGAGTCGAGTCGGAAGGGTGCTCCGCAGCTTGGCCGAACATTTGGCTGTGCGTCGAAAATAGGTATCCAAACTGAAACCCAATGTACACATTGGGTTTTCTCAAAACTAGGGACGCTTTTTGGATGTGCTGTTTCTTTCTGTTTTTTCTCAGGAAGCCAAAAGGAAACGACCTACCCGGAGGGGTCGCCAGTTTTGAGAAACACCCACATGAAGTTAAACCCCGGTAAATGTAAACAGAGACTAAAACCTTCAGCCCTCCGGTTGAATTTTGACCCATAACCATTTCAGACTTTCGACTCTGGTCCATGGCGTGGCTTCTTTGGAGGTGGCCGGGTACCCATTTTGGGTTGAAACTGACAGCGGCCCACCGACATCCAATGGCCGAACGAGCTGCCTCTTCCTCCATTGGCTCAAGCCACCAGGAAAAGAACACAACATATTTACACCAGTGATAATTAGATTCCATTTAAAACCAGCGGGGGAAAATCAAACCAATGGAAGTCCGTTTTTGGCTGGTGTCTAAACCAAACCCGTCCAAGTTCCAAAGAAAGGAGAAACAGGAAGCGCAACACCCCGCAGCTGGATCAAGCCAGCCAAATGGCATGGCAAAAACTTTGGGCTCGCACCTCTCTTTTGGCGCCAGATCCTGAGGTTTTACTCAGAATGCCTTTTGCATTCCACCTTGCTTGAGATAATTGGCTGCCTTCGTGCTCCTTATGGCCGGGAGCGCAGCTGTCGCTGGCCCGCGGGCCTTCTTTGTGGCTCTGAAAGTGAAAGCCACACTCCACACTTAGGCCCATGGCCTGCTCTCTGGCTCTGAAGGCCACACACTTAGGCCGAAGGCCTTGTTCCCCCACATGCGTGCCTACCATGCTAAAAAAAACCTACCTAGTTAGGGCTGGGTGGGCGGGAGCTCAGCCGAAAATTCTTCGGCAGGCGCCACATGACGGTGTTCGCCCAACACTTCGAGGCGAATCAATTGGGCTCGCACCTCTCTTTTGGCGCCAGATCCTGAGGTTTTACTCAGAATGCCTTTTGCATTCCACCTTGCTTGAGATAATTGGCTGCCTTCGTGCTCCTTATGGCCGGGAGCGCAGCTGTCGCTGGCCCGCGGGCCTTCTTTGTGGCTCTGAAAGTGAAAGCCACACTCCACACTTAGGCCCATGGCCTGCTCTCTGGCTCTGAAGGCCACACACTTAGGCCGAAGGCCTTGTTCCCCCACATGCGCGCCTACCATGCTAAAAAAAACCTACCTAGATCTTCCACATTTCCCCGGCGAAGCCGGCTGGCGGCAATTCAAATTGCCGTCACATATTTCCTAATTCTGGCGGAGATACGAGGCGATACTCTCAATTCTGTCAGTACCGACACTCCTTCATGCAAATAATTTCTTGCCGCCCCACTGCTGTTCCACCTTCCTCGGACGAGGGCTCGCTCCATTGAGCCATGAATACGAAAATCATGTGTTGCCCCGCCTCTGCGCAAACTGTAGGGCCTGAACCCTAGATGTGAGATCTGAAAATAGTCCGTGAGCTGTCGAAATTCATCGCGGAATTTCTGCGGAGAATGTGTCCAAAGGGGCAATTCCAGTTCAGAACAGCATTGTTTCCATTGCAGCAAAACCTTCAGACAAGTTAAAACGCGGTTGTCCTGAACCGATACATGCTCTTTGCGATGAAACCTTAGCCCAGTCTTTGTGAAGCCAAGTTGCAAAACTGCGTCACTGTCCCCTAAAAGAATGTGTCGGGGGGTCAAAAGCAGCAACTCACCAGTGCGAAGCATGCAGTGGAAGCCAACCAGCAAAAGGGTTCCCATTGTCAAATCCTCTTTTTCGAAACTGCGTGCAGCCATGGCAAGGACAAAAGCCACAGGCAAAGGAGGAGCCTGCGCAGGTACCTCTGTCTTCTTCCACACACGGAACAAACGCCATGCAGAGGGCAGTTTGTATTTGGTCCAGGGGATGAAAAAATGAAGCGCGGAAAGGGCGTCCCCGACAGTTCCCATAGCCTCACCTTCTGCAAACACTTCCTGAACCCAACATGCAATTAAATCGTCCATTTCAAAGGCAGTCCTTGCTTGTTCTACCAAGTGTAAAACCAGTCCCACTGCAGCATAATAGCGGGATAATGTGCTCTGCGTGACTGCTCTCTCTTCTAAAGACCTGCCAGCTCGTCTCTTCTGTCTCAGCTTCTTCAATATAGCCTTCCGCGCCGTCATGCTCTGCTGGCGGCGTCTGTCGGGTTTTCTAGCGAGTCAACATGCCCTTGGATCAATGTTGAACCAGATGCCAGCAAATGGGCCGCTGTGCGAGTGACAATGTGGTCCAATGCTTTGCTTGAAGTGCGCCCTTTAGCCAACACTGAAACGCAAACAAAAGAATCGGACAGGTGGGTTAATCTACTCTCAAATCCGCGGAGTTGGCGTAGCCGCCACAATACTGCCAGGAAAGCTGCGCGTGTCTCTAAACAGTTTATGTGCTCCTTGTGCAACCATCTGACTGCAAACACTATTTTCCAAAGCCACCACCCAGCACTTAGCGAAGCCCGTTGGAGCCCTTTTGGGTTCAAGGCCGTTCCTGAAGCAATGCGAATATCAGACCCCGTGTGGTTGCAGTGCCTCATGAGGAACAGGTTAAGGTCTCGGGGCCGATGCAAGGAAAGGGACGCGTTGCCTCCATAAGCTCTACCCAATTGCATGGGAGCAGTGCAAGAGACGTTGCAAGAAGCCCCGGGAGCCAACCCCAAACGGCTGCACAAATGCAATGCACCCGGGTATGGCTGGAACTCGACACACAACGCCGACGCGATGAGCACAAACGATGCCACTGCAAAAGCATCGCCCATCAAAGAACACCGCTCATCTTCCCATTGCTGATAGGATTGTTTGACCTTGCTAGCTGAAAAACAGACCTCTGTGTGACCAGCGCCAAAGCCCATTAAACGTTCCCGTTCAGAGCTACTGGCGCACCTCACTTGATTATCAGAATTCCAAAAAATGAAGCAGTCCTTATACTGGTAAGGGGGGTATCTAAATTCATGGGCGGCCCATCGTTGACATGCGTGACCCCCCCCCCGATGCAGTCCTGCTGGGTTTTCTGGGGGCCGCTGACGTCTGATCGCCTTCATGAACGTTGGCAGCGGGGTCTGCGTCGCTGCTCCTCCCCAACGCCAGCCTTCATCCACCCACTGCTCCTCTGCAGGCCAGTTGCCTGGCACCACTGCTTCCCAACGGTCGTCCCTGTCGAGGAGCTCAACATCAGTGAGAGCTCCCAGGTTTGCGGTAGTCCAGCACAGCCTGGGGCGACACATGGGGACTTGCTTGCTGGGGTCTAGCATCACTGGTTTGACCCCAATGGCCTGGCTTATGGCTTGCCTTGCAGCGGCATTCATGCTGTGAACGTTTTCCACAACAAAATGCACTTGCGCGGTGGTAAACTCCGCGGCCAGCAGCCGATAAATCCTCTCGATTTCCCAGAACAAAGAGCTGTGTTTGCCCCAGAGATTGCCCCGCTCTGCCTTGATGGCTGACACGCCATCACAAGGACAGCCAGCCCACAAGTGAACTGCCTTCAAGTGGCCCCACTTATTGGCCCACTGTCTGACGTCTGTTTGCGATAACTGCCGCACATCATCATACTGCATACAAGTTGGCCATCGTTTCCTTGTTACCCGGCAAGCAGGCTTGTGACATTCCACTGCTATTCGGCCAGCCGGCTCAATGCCCACGAGGTCATAGCACCTGAAAGCGCCTCCTACCCCGTCAAACAGCGATATTACAAGGATTTCTGCAGATAAGGGAAGCATCTGGCAGTCAAGCTTGCTCTGCAGGAAATCCTGTCCTTCTGAGCTCAGCTGCCGGCTGATGGCCACTGCACCTCCTTTTGCTGAAGCGTCTGAGCAGCTGATATCATCCCCCACTGCGGCGCGAAGGTTGGTGTGGTACAGCATGCTGCCGCAACATGCCCGCAAGAGTTCCCACTGTACTGCAAAACGTTTCCTGCTCCTCTCCCACGGCCTGCCCAAAAAGCGCCACACCTCTTGCAGTTGTGTCATCGCTGGTCTGCGAAACTGCCAAATAAAAATCCAGCGGCCCGCAGCAATCTGAAGCACCTTCAAAGGTATTCGCTTCAAGGTGAGGGCATGCAGGGAGAGCTTGATTGTCTTGTGCAGCCTTTCCGGGCTGGCGCCAAGCCACCCCAATTCACCATCAATAAAGGCCCCAAGTTCAGTCGCAACGCTTGCTGCGTGCACCCGCTTCTTTTTGGCTGAAAGGACCTTCGCTTGCGCCCAAGCATCCTCTGCCATCCAGTGGAGGCGTTCCCCAGCGTCGCTCTTGGCCCCACTGCACACCTTCTCTACTGCACAAAAGTTGTCCAAATAGACGTGCCACCAGTGAGAGCCATGCTGTTGGGCCAAATTCACAGATTCAACCATCCATCGCGGCAGCGGCCTTTCTCTTTGAAGCTGTCGCTCCACTTCAAAACCGGCCCGCAGCAGGAGGTTCTCGGATACTTCTTGCATTATGCCCACTGACGAAGCCCAGCCCATTGGCAAAACATTGCACGCCAAGAAATAAGTTTCTCCAGCAAGGCCTCCTGGGATGTTCTCCCCACGCGTCCGGAGATTGAAGGCTAAATGACCCTGCCAGCACTGCGGCAATTGGAAAAGGTAAAACGCTGATGCCATATCCGATTGAAAAATCTGCAATGCGCAGCCCTCTTCCAACACCAATGACACCCACTGCGAAATGTTGGGAAGAGCACCAATCCTGCCCGCCAGCTCTTCATGCACTGCGTTGGATGGTATCAAATTCATTCTGACCCTTAGCACTGGTGAGCCTGAAGGGGTCACGGCTGCCTTCTTCACTCCAAACAGCCCGCTGAGCACTCTCTGCTCTCTGTACCGCAGCACCATTGCATCTGGAATCCAACTGCAAATGCCTCGGGCCACGAGCAGCTCTGCCATGGCCTTTTCTTCTCCAGCCTTAATGTGGACCTTGGCCTGTAGCTTGGGCAATTCTCGGCCATCGTCTGGTAACACACAACTGGCTGGGTCCTGCAAAACTGTATGGAGCCTTGGGCCAACCCAGTCAAGCAGTTTGATGGAGCCGCCGTGCCCAAAGGGAGGCAGCGCGGGCTCAGCCTGCTCTATCGTCAGCACCTGCAGAGTGGATATCTCATCTCCTCCGTAACCCACTGTCCTTTCTGCGAGATTCTGCTCCACGTCCTGCAGCGCCCAAGATAATCTCTCATCTCTCGTTAACACTCGCGCCACACAGTTTCTAATGCTTTCCACTGCTTTCCGCTGCATAGGAGACCCCTTTCTTTCAACCAGTGACCCCTGTGGCCTTCAAGGTCATTGCAGAACCACACGGACAGGTAAACCCATGCATCTTCAGCAGACTCGGCCTGGTTCCCAAACTGCCTCATTGCCTCGCCTGACGAATTGCACGCCCAAATGTAGCGCGGGACCTTCAAATTGTCGAGGGTGAGGGGGAAAAGTTGCTTAGGTCGGTTGACCCGTGGACCTGGCGCCCTTATATGGGACAAATACACACTCAAGACTGCGGCGTCGTCATCCCAAGGTTGCCCTCTCCCCTTCAGCCCAAACATAGTCCAGAGAAGCCCCACGCCCAGGGAAGCAAGATTCCAAGAACTGTCTACCACATCAGCCCACACGCTCTTTTTCTCGGCGGGCAATGCTCTCAGTTCACTGATGATCTCCTCTGTCCTTGGTCGTCTGTCCTCTGACCCACTAGGCTCGGCAGGCAACGTCTGTACTTCGCGCCTTGCTCTCTTGGTGCTGACACCAAAATGGGCAGCTATAGGTTGATTCTCTAGGCTCACTCCTTTCTTCTGCGCTGTTCCATCTGAAATGCTGGGATCACAATGGCCAGCTATAACCCACTGATCCTCATCTTTCTTCTCTCCTCTGGCCCGGACGCTGCACTTTGCCTCGTCACATCGTCCACGGCTTCTTGCTTTCTTTTTCACTCCTTTCCCCCTTCCTTTCCTTTCTCTCCTTTGCTTGAGAAGTTCACCCAAGACTCCTTTTTGTCCTTGGTTTTGCTCTTCCCCTTCTTGCTTTTCTTTCCCTTCTCGCTTTGCCACACTCCTCCGCCTTCTTCGCGCGCCGAGGATGAACCCCAACTTCCGTTTCCTCGGCCGGTTGAGGGCACCCACTGCACTTTGCCCTTGTCGTGGCCTTTGGCCTTCTCCATTGTCCGTCCGTACTGTCTTGCGGCTAGGAGCATTTCCGCAGGTGCGGACCCTTGTTGATCCACCGTCACCAGCTCTAGCCACCTCGCTGTATTCCAATTGCCATCAGCGACTGATGCACCGCCATGAACCTGCTCGCGGCCAAATCGCCCACTCGTCCCAAGCAGCCCATCCTCAACTGGTCGATCAAATGGGAAAGGTGGTAGAGCTCCCTGACCTCCCGGGAATTCCCGCTGTGCTGGTTCTTGAGCAAGAGGTTGAAGTAACTCACCAGCCTCACTCCGCTGGTGAGGGCCGCCTCGACTTCTGTTGGCTCGCAGAACTCGCGCATCTGCTGCTCCACCTGCTCCACCAGCTTCTGAAGGACTGCACCTGGCTGTCGGGAAGAGAGCCGCTTCAGCGGCGCCATCAACTTCGAAGACTCCTCTGAACATCTCGAAGTCTCGGAACTCGTGGAAGACTCGGACTCCTCGCCGGAGCTCCCGCCTCCATCGTCGGGGTCCCCATCTGCTGACTGCCTCCTCCGCTTTCTCTTCTTCCTGTCCTTGTCCTTCTTCCCAGTCAGCACCTCTTTGAGTTTCTTCAAAGTGTCCTTGCCCTTCTTCTTTTTCTTCTTCCTGCTTCGCGTGGGCCCGGAACTCATTGAAAGCAAAGCCCGGGACGTCAATTGGCCTTCGGCCGTCCTGGCATCGCTCCTCTTCAAGCTCCTGGAAGTAGCGCCGCTTGGCCCCAACCGATCGCTGTCCTTGTTTCTGCTCACCAGGCTCATGTCGCCGGCCAGCCCCATCCAATCCCCAGGCTTGACTTCCATGTCCGTCCCTGTGCCGATCCTCCCGGGCACTGGAACAGAGCTTGAAGGGCCTGGCTGCTCTCCACCACCAGACTCCTCGTCGGTCGGATCCAGGAATGTCACTCTCCTGGGGGTTTCTTCTCCTGGTCCTTCTTGGGCTCTCTTCTTCAAAACTGATAGCCGCTCCTTGAGGTTGCGCACCGCATCTTTCTCTAAGGTCTTCTTGCTGTCCTGCTGGGCTGAGTGCCGGTTGGAGATATGGCTCAACCTTGCTGCATGGCCTTTTCCAGATCCTCCTTGGGAAACTCCTCGCTTTCGACCAGGTCGAGGTGGAACGGGCGGTGTTTCCCCGCCTCGTACACCTTCTCCGGCTCCTCCGACTCCCTTTCCTGCCTTGAGAAACCTCTCTCTTTCGCCAAGCGTTCCTTCTTCGGGAGCGCTGGGCCCATCCTGCTCTGCTTCCTCTCCTGCCTCTGCTTCCGCAGTGGCCACATCTCGAAGCAACCGCTTTCCATGCGCTGTCAAGAACCCTGCGCTGTAGTTTGATCCTGGCCGGAGCACCAAACTCGTGAGGTGCACTTCTCCTTCTGCGAAACTCTGGCAGTCGGCTTCCTGGCACAGGTGTAAGTGGCCTTTCCTCCTGTTGAACCGGCTGCCCATTGTGCGGTAGAGGTCCACCCCAGGCACCTGACCAGCAGCGCCAAGCTGCCATCCTCCACCACGGTGTAGGACAGGACCAAGAAAGCAACCAAGGCTTCTTCGGAACGGCCGGCAGCGATGGGGAGCATTGCTTCTACGACATCGCCCCGCCGTGGGGCAATCTCTGCCCACCTCACTGGGTCGCACAGGTTGTAGTTGCCGTAGTCCTCGCCATCCTCTCTCAGCTCGTCTTCCGCCATTTCCCTGCCGTGCAGGCGCAGCGCCTCCGCCAAAGCTCCTCTCTCTCTCTTGGCTCACTGCCCTTCCTTTTCCTAGTTGGTTCAGGAACAGCTTGCTCTGAAGCCTCTTTGGCGTCTCTGCGTCTCCGTCTGCTCTCCTCTCTGCCTTCTGTTCTCTTTTTCTCTTTGCGCACTTTCTTGCCACTGTTGCCTGAGTGGGCGTTGTTGTCCCTGGCCTGGGACAAGCGCAAAAACTTACGGACCTCCTCCAGCACCTCCTCACGGGGCGCGTCTTTGCTCCTCTTCCCACTATCGCGCTCTTTCTGGTAGGTCTTGGGTCGGGACCCGGCGGTGACCAACTGCTCAGTCTCGTAGGTGTAGCTCTCCTCACTGTCGCCTCTGACCTCCTCAGGTGGTTCCACTGTCTTCTTCTTTGCTGTGGCCCCCTTTGGGTGCTCCTCTGCTTCTTGCCTCTTTGGTCGCTCTCTTGCTGCGTCCTCGGCCTCCCTCAGGGCCAGCAAAGACCTCTTACAGCCTTGCAAGATGGCCACAGCCACCGGGAGGTACCCAGGTCTGTCAAACTCTTCAGTCAGAGTGTCACAAACACCTACCAAGGCCAGGCAAACAGAGCAGTTCTCCTCACCGCGAGATGGCTTTCTAAACTCACAAACACTACACATAAAGCTCAGCCGAAAATTCTTTGGCAGGCGCCACATGACGGTGTTCGCCCAACACTTCGAGGCGAATCAATAGCTAAAACCCACCTACCGTGGTGTGTCAATGGTTGCAATCAGGGTTACTAGCCATTTAGCTATGCCCGTCTACGGACAAATCTGACCTTGTCTCAAAAAGGGGAGGTTCTTTTTGGATGGTTCCAGAGGGAAATGAAAAAATCACTAACCATGTGAAGAAAGGACCATATATATGGAGGCTGCATTGTCACCCCATCTGTGGCTCCCGCAAATATTGTGTTGCTTATTCGGTTTCCCGTAAAACAACACAAAAGAAAGCTCCGTCAAAAAAGACACTTGCTCTTTCTTCTAATGGGACCCCTGAAAATTGTGATTTTTCTTTTGGTTTCCCTTTGAAACCACACAAAAAAGGATCGCCTCAAAAACAATCGCGTCCAAATCTAGTCTACCCTATATGAAATCATTGTGGAGACTCCGGACTGCCTCTCGGCTTTCCCGAACCCAACGGCATTCCAAGCCTGCGCCCCGGCTGGCAAATCATCTTAGCCGAGCACTCACTCGAATGCCGAACAAACCGGGTCTTCAATTATGGTGGACCTGGAAATACGAATTGCACGCCTCTGCTTGGGCTTCTTTGGTTTGGGGTGAAGGAAATCACATTTCTTCCCAAAGTCACCTCCATTGTGGATTGGACAAACAAGTTCTTAAACTTTGCGCGTTGCCATTAACATGGTCTCCCTAACAAGTATAAAGTCCAGCAACTCAGGAAGTGAGAAAATAGACAGCCAGAAAAGAAAAAAACAACTACCCACCTCCTTCTGGCGTCCTGTAGGGGGGTGGGCTATTTAGCGCCAGTCAGCTGCAGGAGCTCTGACTAGAGATTAAAAAAAATCTACATCGTTGGGTAGGCACATATGTGTTGTCTGCAATCGTTGCACGAACTGCTGTATATCACAGCAAATGACTAAAAAGAACAAGTATCCCAACATCGATTCCAAAATCCATGAGTGACAAATGTGTTGCAAATGACTATGATTCACAAATGGAAACAAGAAATCCCAAAGTGCAGGACCTTCATGGGGGAGCTCGTCTTAAGCTCTTGTGGCTTTCTTTAGGGCAAGTCCGCAGACGCGGGTCTTTGAGCGTCCATGGTGCTCTCCCCATCTGTCCTCCCGAGTCAACAAAAAACAAGATATGCCAAGGCAAGACGAGCATTAAGCACACCTATGTGCCTCGTGCATTAACTATTCACCATCGTTCCCGGTGACAGGTGGCATTGCGTAAACCCAGCACAAATACCGGCAGGACCTTCATGTTTCTCACCATCCAACCTCGCAAGTCTCCATGATAATTCGGCGGCGGACAAAGCAGGGAGTCCCCTGCAATTGTTGAAGACACTGTTGGTTTCCTCAACCTATTGGAACATAACATGAATACGCAAAAGGAGGACCGCCAAAAAATTGCGTGGGCCCCACCCACAACTGAGGACATCCAACAAACAGCTTGACAACTCAGCGGGCATCCTCCCAAACAATCATGGAAGCCGAAGAACTTGCTCCGGAACCCACTTCCGTAATTAATTGGAGGGAGGGGAAGTGCGCCAACTGATTTTGTTTAGGGAGGGAACCCTCAAAATGTGTGGTTTCCCCGAGGTCTCCCTTCAAACCAACCCCCGGATACCCTCAAAAGACAGTGTCAACATCTCTCAACTCAGGTAAGTTGTCCCAAGAACCGCGTGCGCAAGATCTCCTGGGGCGCCCCGCCAAGTGCGCGAACCACGGCGTGTGACCGAGTGGAGTCGACGTAGGCGTTGGGGCAACAGGAGTGCACCAGGCGCGAGCATTTCAAGAACCTCGGGTGAGTGCCCAAAATCCATTGACTTGTGGACTTTCCAATCCAGATGCAACATCATGCTATACAGGTTCATATGGGCGTGTTGCTTTTTGAGGGTACCCCTTTCTTGATTGATTGGAAGGGAAAAGCAAAAGGCAAACCACAATTTTCGGGAGTCCCCTAACAAAAAGACACACTAAGACAAACCTGACTATAACACCATAAGACCCGGAACACAGCAGAACAAACATAGCCAATGTTGATGATGGGTGCTCAGGTGAGTCACAATCAAATCCCAATAAGAAACAAATATCCACAAAACACACCAGGAAACAAGGCGTCCGCATATGTGACGAACCTTCTGCTTTTCATTGTAGCTTCTCGGATCCACAGGGCTTGTTTTTTTGTGTGGCCCAGCTTAAAACATATTTCCTAAAGTGCAAGCTGCTTCTGCTCAAAAGCTCATTAGCTTCTGCTAAAGGACACATTGGGGGAAATGTGCAATCTCTCTAGCGGCTTTCATTTGTTTAATTGACTCCGCCCCAACAAAAAGAGCCCCTTTTCCTGCTTTCGAGGGGCTTCCTTTGACATTAAGACAATTCTCCACTGAGACGGCATGACGCATGAACATAGTGAACTTGCATCTTTTGTGCTTCGTGCTTCAGTACAATGACTGATAGGTGCATGTCTCATCACAAGCTTCTTGAGGAGAAAGTAGTAAACTAGCAGGCATGAAACCGGGCAACTTAAGGAGGAAATGGGACATGGATCCACACACACACACACACATCTGGACACCCGCGCAGAGCCTTTGAAACGCTTGCGCGAACGAGTGACCCGAAAGCGGAGGAACCAGTGTCATGTCCGGGCTTCGTGTACCCATCATTGTTGCGACCCAAACAGCCTACATACCCTCAAGCCTAAGTTCTGAGGGCCGACAAACATATTGAACCCGTTTCATGTTTCTGAGCACTGGTGAGTGTGAAAAGAGGGGACCCCCCAAAATGGTGGTGCTCCTTTTGGATATTGTTGAAGCTAAGGTGAAAAGGGCACGCTCAAAAAAGCAAACCCCTTTTAGAGTCGCCTTAATTTCGGCCAAATTCACCCCCCCCTGCACCTCACTCCGTTCTCCGAGGCGCAGCGCGACGTAGCGGGGCTCGCGGCTGCAAAGCTGGCAGTTGGAGGAGAGGATGGACCGCAAAGGGTCCTGCAACATCCAGCGAGGGGGATACAGTTGATGGAACTCTGTGGGTCACAACATCATATGGGGCATGGTGAAATGTTTGAACATGGTGGACAAGCACTTGAAATCTTAAATAGCATGGGGAAAGATTCGGAATGATCATGGCTTTATCGCTTGGACAGTCGCTCTATCGCAAGATTCTCCACAACCATGGACAGGTTGCACGAGCAGGGTTCACAGGGCAAAATGAAAAGGGGCCTCTCGAAATGTCGCTTCAAAGTTGATCAATTTCTTGGTGGGTTCCAACAAAACTGCCCACTGGAGGTCAATCAAGAAAGTGAGAGACATGTTTTGGTCGGTGAGCCAATCTTCCCCAGGCTGTAGAGAGACCTCCGTGCACCGCCCAAAAAAGCAACACAAACGGTGTTCGAAATTTGCGCAGTAGTTGCTATTCAACCCTGGCATGCGTGGGTTCCCCACACTCACACACTGGCCACGAAGATTCAATGTCAGCTTTCCTGTGAACCTTCAAAAAGGCTGCCCAGTTGGTTGAACTCGAAAGAGATGCCACCTTTATGCACAATCCAGCAGGCGCCCAAGTTCTGAACACCCCCTCCTTCTGGTTTTGCCCTTAATCGTGCATGTGTGTGCGAGTCTGTGTGTGTGTGTCTTTTGGTGTCTGTGTGTGTCTGTCTGTGTCTGTGTGTGTGTGTGGGTGCGTGCGTGCGTGCGTGCGTGCGTGCGCGGGCGGAGGGGCGGGCGCGGGCGCGGGCGCGGGCGCGGGCGCGTGCGCGTGCGCGTGGGCGTGTGTGCGCGTGCGCGGGCGCGGGCGCGTGCGCGTGCGCGTGCGCGTGGGTGTGGGTGCGGGTGTGGGTGTGTGGCAGTGTGGGCGTGTGGGCGTGTGGGCGTGCGGGCGTGCGCGTGCGTGCGGGCGTCCGGGCGGGCGGGCGGGCGGGCGTGCGTGCGTGCGTGCGTGGTGGTGTGTGTGTGTGTGTGTGTGTGTGTGTGTGTGTGGTGTGTGTGTGTGCGTGTGTGTGTGCGTGCGTGTGCGTGTGTGCGCGCGCGCGCGGGCGGGCGGGCGGGCGGGCGGGCGGGCGGGCGGCGCGGGCGGGCGGGCGGGCGCGTGCGTGGCGTGTGTGTGTGTGTGTGTGTGTGTGTGTGTGTGTGTGTGTGTGTGTGTGTGTGTGTGTGTGTGTGTGTGTGTGTGTGTGTGTGTGTGTGTGTGTGTGTGTGTGTGTGTGTGTGTGTGTGTGTGTGTGTGTGTGTGTGTGTGTGTGTGTGTGTGTGTGTGTGTGTGTGTCTGTGTGTGTGTGTGTGTTTGCGTGCGTGCGTGGGTGGGTGGGTGGGTGGGTGTGTGTGTGTGTGGGTGACGTGCGTGCATGCGTGCGTGGGTGTCGGTGTGGGTGTGGGTGTGGGTGTGGGTGTGGGTGTGGGGTGGGTGTGGGATTGTGTGCGTGCGCGCGTGCGTGCGTGCGTGCGTGTGTGGTGTGTAATTGTGTTGTGTGTGTGTGTGTCTTTGTGTGTGCATGTATCTCCGTGTGTGTGTGTGAGAGACAAGCGCTGATTGCAGAGCGATGTTGGTTGTGTTCCCTTTCTTGTGGTTGCGGACCCGTGCCACTTCTGATGCCTAAACCAGGGCTTTCTTTTCCAGATTTGGTGCCACTGAAGAGTATGCAGTTTGACCTTTTTGGTAAAAAGCGACAAAACCGAGCTGATCGGATGTCAAAAGACTGGCCACGGAGGCCATTTAGGTTTGTTAAGCTTTCTCTCGATGGACAAGTGCGAGGAAAGAGCTGCGCCAACACCCGGCACATGTGAGAGGACTTGGCTTCAGAATTGGATGCCAGGGCATGTATTTGTCGTTGGTGGTTTTCTCCTTTTCTTGTGGTTGCGGGCCCGTGCCTTTCTGGTGTCTAAATGTTGAACCAGGTTTTTTCAGATGACCTGCGGTCACTCATCAGTTTTGCAAGGAGGCAGTGAGCGCTCTACCATCCACTGCCCAACGAAGACGGTGGTAGACGTGCTGTGAAGCGGCCTGAAACGCCAGACCGTGCATAGCTCCATTTTTTCCGGGGATCAGTCAGTCTTCCTAATGAAGACCTCCCGTCGGCTGGTTTGACCATTTGACAGCTTGACACGGATTCAACCTCTACTTCCTGCGGGAAGCGCTTCACAACTGTGTGTGTGTGTGTGTGTCTGTCTGTCTGTCTGTCTGTCTGTCTGTCTGTCTGTCTGTCTGTCTGTCTGTCTGTCTGTCTGTCTGTCTGTCTGTCTGTCTGTCTGTCTGTCTGTCTGTCTGTCTGTCTGTCTGTCTGTCTGTCTGTCTGTCTGTCTGTCTGTCTGTCTGTCTGTCTGTCTGTCTGTCTGTCTGTCTGTCTGTCTGTCTGTCTGTCTGTCTGTCTGTCTGTCTGTCTGTCTGTCTGTCTCTGTCTGTCTGTCTGTCTGTCTGTCTGTCTGTCTGTCTGTCTGTCTGTCTGTCTGTCTGTCTGTCTGTCTGTCTGTCTGTGTGTGTGTGTCTGTGTGTGTGTGTGTTTCTCTCTCTCTCTCTCTCTTGCTCGCTCTCTCTCTCTCTCTCTCTCCCGCTCTCTCTCCCTCTCTCTCTCTCTTTCTCTGTCTTTCTCTTTCTCTCTCTCTCTCTCTCTCTCTGTCGCTGCTGCGTGTCTCTGTCTGCGCGTGCGCGCGGGAACTTTTTGTGTTGTTTGGGACAAGCGGTGGCCAACTGTTGCCGGCTTGGCACCGTTTCTTCACAGATCACTCTGCTCAAACACCCCGCATTGTCCCCATGGGTCTGTGCAAAAGCCATTATTGGAGAATTTCGGGCCACTGAACAGAGTGTGGTCCATACTGATAGTTCACTTGAGATCCTCTCATGCAAACTAACGCGAACCTCCAACAACCTTTCTTGGATCAGAATTTACTCGATGGATTCCATGGTCGGGTTTCATGTTGATGAATTGATTACGCGAGCTCCTATGACCTCATTTGGCTTGAACGCACCCCACCACCCCATTCCCTTGTAGTTTATTTACCTAACAACGTCAAAACAAGATCTGCCACCAATCAGGGTTGGGCAAATCAGGACATGTTTGAACCATTTCTCAAACAATCTCCTTTGGGCCTTTGGGTTGCCCTTAAAAACGGCGCTAGGGCCTAGGTGTTTTTGTGGAAGGGTAGAGCTTCCTGTGCGTTGGAAGCCTTTTGGCCTCGAGGCAAAAGCGCACGCCTCCTCTCCGGTAAAGCGGCCGCCGGGCAGCTGCAAAACCTGTCGAAGCGAGGATTGAAATGGGCGGGTCTTTTTTTTCTCACTTCCTGAGTGGACTGGCCAAAAAAACTGAAGTATGCACATCTTGTCCAGGAACTCTTGTTGGGCATAGTCGGAGGTATTTGCTTCAATGCTCACAGCGGCTCCGTGAAACTCACAATGGGTGACTTCGAAAAACAAGCCTTGCTTTCTATCCCCCATGAAGCCAGGTGTGTGTCGTTTTTGATGGTGCCTTTTTTGTGGTTTTACAGGAAAACCCAAAGGAAAACGACCATTCTAGGGGGGAGGGTCCGATCCTAGAAGGCCCCAAGAAAAGACACACCCAGGAGATTACTACTACGGCCTTTGTTGGAACTGCCAAAAAACCCTCGTAAGCCTAGCGCTTTGCAGCTGGCTTGATCCACGGGAACACAGCGCTTGGAATCTGCCCGAGACGAAGAGGTGACCGAAACTGCGAATTGGTCCAGGCCCGGTCTGAGATATGGCATTTGGATGGGCTTGGAGAATCTTAGGGCACTTCCTCCGCGGCCCTCACAGGACCATCGTCCACTGTTTTTTGGCCGAACCTCAATATGCCCCAATATAAATGCAATTCTCAGCTGGCCCGTCCAACAACGGAGGGTCCTGGGAGGGGGTGCTTTTTTGAGACTCTTTGGCCTTGGCTTAACTTGTTTGCTCCTCCAATTTTGGCGCATACCGCATACCTATATGGCTATAAATACCCTCGATTGGCGGACATGAATCCCCTGAATCATGTCCATCCAAGGGGGTGTTGGGAAGAAACTTCGGTAGATTCCCAGGTCAACTTGTGTTTGATAGTTTATCTACCCTAGCATATTTTTTTGGGGTATGTCGAATATCTGTGTAGATTAACGATTGCTATGTTTTTGTTTATCAACAAGCAAGAAATACATGGAGGAGACCGCAATGGAATGCAGGATTAAAGAAGACCCTGGTTGTTGTTTTTTGCTTGTTGGGGTGGGGGGAATGACAGATCCACTCCAAATATGCATATACTTGCAGCCCCAGCCTTCAAACAACCACTGTGCCAAGTGAAAGGTAATGTTGACCCGGAATAATCTGAACAACCCTATTGATCAAGGGTGGCACTGCGTAGTTAACCTGCGGATGTATGCGAGGTTGACACTATGCAACCGGCACAAAAATATGGGTATGTGTCAAAATAGGGGGCCCATCAAAATAGTATATTTCCTTTTCCCAACACACCGAACGCCCTGACCCCCTCCTGAAAGCTGCCCCAAACCACCCCTTATCGCCTATGTGGGCGTATCGACCCCATAGCTTTCATTTCAGCTGGGAAAAAAGCACAACAGACCCACAAATTACCATGTCCTCACAACTCCTGGTAGCTCCTTGGCTCCCTCTTTGGAAGCCAATCTGGATGCCCCCACTAGGTCCTCCAGTAGAGAGGTTAGAATAAGGGTACCCTTTTTTCTGTAGTCTACTTTAGTAGGGGAACCCTCACCCAAAAAAGAAACGGCAAAAGTTGGCACGATCCTGGGACCTAGCCCAGCTCCCCAACGGCTCCCTCCCAGCCACCTCGCCCATCTCCCTCGCCCGCCTCCCGGTCCTTCGCGACACGTCGCGCCAATTCATCGCAGGCCTGCGGCCCCGCGGCGACGCACGCCCGCGGGGCCTCGAAGAGCACGGCTTCCCCCGCCGAAACCTCGGGAAGCGCCATGGACTTCGGCCCCGAAAAAACGGCGAAGAACACTGGGGCTCAGGAAGGTGGTGGCTGAAATGGTTTTCATGGTCAACATGGTGTTCAAGATGGTTGCGATGGTTTTACATGACGTGCAAGCTGGGCTGGCTTTGCAGTTGTGGATTTGAAGGATGATTGCGACACACACACACACACACCAAGCATGGTTTGCAGTATCGCTAGTGCTCAGGAACAACACACATGACTGGGGAGGGGAATCAAAATGGCTAAAGGCTGGGTGACCTCCAGGTATAAAATTAACAAGATGCTTGCAAGGATGACTTTCAAGAAATGGACTTGAGGGATGGTCTCAAGTTGTAGTTTGGAGTGATGGTTTCAACAAATGCGATGATGCTGTGCTTATAAGCTATGGGTCCCGAGCTATGGA